AGAGAGAGAGAGAGAGAGTTGGGAAAGAGAGGAGGAGAGAGATGGGGATGAGAGGGAAGGTTTTTGGGGAGGGGGAGGGGAGGAGCTGTGGCTGGGGAAATGGGGGGGGGGGGTAAAAAAAACTAGTATATCCAGCATGAAATAGATGGAGAACACTACCCCGTAAAGTTTCGGAATACAACCCGGCAGCGCATGCCCGAGAGACTCTCCAGGTCTGTTCGAGCTGTGGGCGCTGTAAGAGCTGAGAGCCGTTGAGCTGACCAAGGCCTATCTAAGAAAGAGATCAGCTGATCTTTTTTTTTTTGATACCCTTTTGATTACTTCTCACCCTATCAAGTAAAAGTACAAGGGCTCATTCCTGATATATCCTCAGACTACCAGAGCCCATCATCAATCATCTATACGTCCATCCCATTGTGTCGTTTCCATCGATCCATATATTGCCATTCCTCCTTGGCTTATTTATCCTCCATCCCCTCCTCCGTAAATCACGTGAATACAAGTAAGACAGAAGAAAGCCAGACATCTGGCGGAGTTAGAGAAATAACACATGGTATATAAACAAGACGCAGACATATAGTACGCTACGCAAAAGACATCGAAAGCATACAAAGGAAATCGAGAGAGACATTATAGTTGTTAGACATGAAGGGGCCCGTGTTTATTCTAGGGGTGTGAATATATGCGAAGTAGACTTCGCATCCACGCATGTGTTCAGGGGTGTCGTGGAATATTGTATGTGCAAGGCTAGCCATCGTGAGGTGGGTAGAGGCCGCGGATGACTCGAGCTGGGTTGCCGCAGACAACTGTATATGGCGGGACATCCTGAAGCAACGAATTAGTATGAATATCTTGGTGAGAAATCGAGAGACTAGTACATACTCTTGTGACAATTGAGCCGGCCCCCACAGTGCTACCCTTACCAATAGTCCGACCGGGCAAGATAGTGACACCGCCCCCAATCCAGCAGTCGGAATCAATCGTTATCTTGCGACCTAGATTCGGTCCTCGGGAACCCAGTCTTCTTTTTGGATCAACCGGTAGAGTAGCCGTGTAGATGTTGACGTTTGGTCCGATGTTACACCGATCCCCAATCTTGACTTCGCATGTATCGAGGATTGTACAATTCTTGCCAATAGCAACATCCTGACCGATGCTGATGTTGTATCCGTAGTCGCAATTGAAGGGTGCTTCGACAACCACATTGTCGCCTACTCGACCGACGGGTGTGATCGATGAGGCTTGAGTGGGTGATATGACATGCTCGCGCGGTTGGAGGATATCTCTGAAGAGGCGTGCTCGCTCCTCGGGAGAAACACCATTGTTGGGATTGGTGCTGCTGTTGAATCGCCAGCATGCTCCGTTGCAGCGTTCGCGTTCGAGCACCAGCTCCTTGTCGAATGGGAAGTAGTGACGTCCTGCCAGCATCTCCTCTTTCTGTGTTCGTGGGCGGCTGCTGCTCGAAGCAAGATTGGACAAGGCGAGCTGCGCCGCAACTTGGGGGTTGCTGTGGGGGCTATCGGCGTGTATTTGCGGGTGCAGGATCTGGGGTAGAGTCGCGGATGCGGACTGTGGCGTGCCAGTGTCTGAGTCTTGCCTAGACTCCTGTCTTGACATATCGTGAAGAGGTCCAACACGTTCGTATGCGCTCTTCGGTTGCCGGTCTGGATAGGCACTGCTGGAAGCCGTAATTGGAGTCGGGATCTGATGCGAGTATGAGATGGCAGAAAGTCTGTTGTTCTCTGGGCTAGTGACCGAAGCACTGGGGATTGCAGAGGCGCTTGGTTGATCATCATCCATGTTGCGTCGCCCTTGTCCGTGTTGCGGATCAACTCGTAAGCTTTGACCGCGGTATCCAGGCAACGGTTCTCTTCGAGGTTGCTGCTGGGGTTGTCCATGTGTTTGTGGTACGTATTGGGACTGGCCGAACGGAGAAGCTTCATAATCTGTCTTTGACTGCAATGGGATTGGTGGTTGTTTCTGTTCTGTCTTGGGCCACTGGCCACGTTGTTGGTAGCCCGAACAGACAAACCCACCACGCAGGCAGTTGTTACCTATGACAGAGTCAGTATTCAATATTCAAACTGTACACCGCCCGACTCGAGCCCTGAAACATACACTCTGGTCTATTTTCGTCACACTTCTTCTTACGCCTTCGACAAGTCATACATCCGGTCTTCGTTCGATTGCTGAAATTACGTTTACGTTTCTTGGGGTCAGATTGAACACTTCCGTCTTGGTCGTAGTATTGATTTACGGATTTGTCGTCATCTCCAGGGCTCTGGTAATCACCATGTTGCTGGGCATCCATATGCTGAGATGCTCGTTGGAGAACCTCTCCAATTTGCTCATCTGAAGTCACTTGGGAATTTGCAGAATACTGCCTCAGGTGCCAGTGGTCGTGCGAAACACCTGATTCTCGGGCGTCTTCGTTTGCGAGAAATTGTCTGTACTGAGATTCTGTACCGTACGAGTCCCGTTGATCGGAGTGTGACGGTGCTCGAAGAGTTTGGTCTCGCGGGGTTTCTGGTTCCGTTGTTGCTGTCGTTGGTGTTTGCTTTGTGGAAGAGGGGATGGCATGGCTGTGGTACGAATTTGTAGAAGAAGAGTCTGGTTCCATAGATCCGGATCTCTTCCGCTTATGAGACATCTCTGCTTCCGAGTACCCACTCGGTGGCAGGTAGGTATGGCGGTCGCTACTTGATGGCTGGATCCATTCTTCCCGCTGTGTAGTAGTTGTGATGGTTAATTTCTCCTGTCCTGGTGGGGATATCCTTGGCTGGCCGTTGGACCGCTCATCTGAACCTCGTCGAGAAGCACCGTTTGAAGCCAGTCCGTTGGCTGGGGTTGCTACTACTACTGGCTCCTTGCCATTCACTGCAGTGAACCGCGACGTTGGGGACTCATTCTGAGCATTCGCACTCTGCTCTTCGGGCGTAGCCATTTCCAACTCGGTGGAGATGGCCCTTGTCTGGTCTGTGGCTTCGTCGATGCTTCTCTTCCCCAGAATCTGCCGTGCCAAACCCACGAGATCGAAGCTGCTATCAATATCGCTCAGTGGAAGTGCAGCTCCCTCCGATCGTGGGTGGGCAACCTCGACCTGGAATGAGGCCGCCACTTTCTCGACCGTCGTCCAAAGACTGAACGGAGAGCTGGATCGAGTGGGTGGAGGCTGATTTTTCTAAGGTTGAGGTTGAGGATGATGTTGAGGTTGAGGTTGAGTCTGCGGTTGAGATGAAGGTGGAGGTGAAGAGAGGGACTTCGAGCTCGAGTTTAGCGTCCGTCGTGACAAGCCACGCCCGTCCTGGCTGTCCACCTCCTTTCACGATCTTCTCTTCTCCTCTCCTCCGGGCTCCGGGTTCGTTCCTGCCTCACGTGTCTCTACAATCGGATCGCTGGTCTCTTCCCATCCAACCCAATCCACTTCTGGCTCTCAAGTTCAAGTTTCGTCGATTGAGACCCTCGTGACGACCACGCTTGCACCTTTACACACCTCTTCTCCCAAGTCCAGTTTTTGGTCTTCCAACCTCCTTTCCCCCTTTCCTCCTTTCCTCCTTTCCCCCTTTCCTCCTTTCCTCCTTTCTTCCTTTCCTCCTTTCCTACTTACTTGACTCTCCTGGATTCCGTTCTTAGTACCGACTGAGCTGGCGCTTTCGGGATTTCAGATGATCCTAGTCGAGGCGCGTCCAAACCTGATTGACAGGACAGGCGGCAAGAGCGGTCACGAACGGCGCAGAATGTGAAGTGGTCCCGGACTGGTGAGAATGGAAAATTTTGACATTCAAGAGCGATTCGAAGGGCTCCAATTATTCAACAGCGTGTCGGCTCGTTGTCGCTCTCGTGGCTCCCAGATTGGTGAACGAACGAACGAACCAGCGAGCGTCAGCATACAGTCATTGATGACAGATCCCAGGCGGCCTCTCGAGGGGCGACAGTTCCCAAATATTTAATTCCTTTCAGCGACACCAAAATCGTCCTGACCTGACTCTTTCGATTTTCCTAATTCCGCGCGGCCTTCTAGATGTTATCTTGAGATGCACGTGGCGCAGCCGCGAAAGGACAATTTTGGAATCAAATCGTCAACGCGTATCGCTGCTTGCAACTCAATTCCTCCGTCCAAGACCTGCGCTCTCTCAACGCGACAATACGGGGGTTTCCTAGGAGTGCGCTGCTCGGGTTGTGAAGGGTTGTGGGAGGTTCCTCGCCACGGGAATGAGGGTTTGGGGTTGGGGATTTGGGATTTGGCAGCGGATTGCGAATGTTTTGACCCAGCGGTTTGGTAACGGAAAAGGCAGAAATCTGATCCGCCTGGGGGTCTCCTCTGCCAATATATTGCAGACGCTCGCCTATCCGTTCCAGACCATGCGCGTCTGCTGGCTCTGGCTCTGGCTGGCTCGCTGACATTCGTCATGAGATGGGTCCTGCGCGGTGCAAGTGCTTTGCCCTGGCCAAGGTGCTGGTGCTGGTGCCGGTGCTGGAGCTAGACTGACTGCGCGCCTAAATATGGGAACCTCGTCGCTAAGCAAGCATAAAGTATAAACTTCAGACTCGGACAAATCAAAATAGCCTTTGGAGTCCACGGAGACACAGGTTACGAGGCGTTGGGTGGGTCGCACGCGGCCGTTATTTGCTCTCGGGGAGCCTCGACAGAGGAGAGTTTGCCAATATTTAGGCTCCATTCCGTTTCGTTTTCTACGACTATAATATTTTGATTATCCAGGCATCTATGGACCGCATACATAATTCCTATCGGCAATGGCGGAGCGAGCGGGATCATTGCAGCTAGGAAGGCGAATAGGTGTGCATATCAGACGGCAGGCAGGCAGGGCATGTTCGTCGCTCGAGTTTGCACTTTTGTGGGAAAGGGAAGCCAGCCCTGAACGAACCCCTCCATCAATGATCAATCCATCCAATCCCTCTTGCGCCGACAGACCAAGGCTCGGGCTCGCTCGAGAAAGGACAGGACTCAGCTCAGAACACCCGTCGTCTCCTAGGGGGATGGTCGAAATGCAATACGATTCAGACCCAGGTCCCTTGCCCGTTACCCGGGAAAATACTACGTAGTAATAAGCCAGCTGAGCGGCTGCTCGCTTTGCCTGCTGCAGCGCCTTTTTGGGGCACATCACACTCTGGTAGTACTGCCGCGACGGCCATATCCCTGCTCTGCCGCCCCATTGGTGGCGCCTCGATATTCCTCCCTCGGCGGTTATCTATATTGGGCATGGCGGCAACAAGAGTCCGAGGCCAGCCCAGCATTCCGCAGACGTGCACCACCCAGACCTGTGTCGAGAAATTGATATTGGCCCAAGGGCTCAAGGGAATCGCAAAATTTGGCCGAGGTCTCGTGTTGTACGAGTAATACTGTACCGCAGCATCATGTCTACAGGAAGTGAAGCGACAGCCAGTCAACCGCTTATTAGTTCGCGCGCTGGTCGTGTTTGAAACCTTACCAATAACCTCGATCGCCGACCTAGTTTTGACTGGCCAATGTTCAGCACTTACGAAGTATAAGAATTGCTCGAGGGGGAGGGGTTGATTTGATAAAGGATCCTGCCACTCGAATCAATGAGTAAAAAGAATGCGAGCAGATCGAGTCTGGTGGATGAAGAAGGTCCCTCCTCGGCCGCGTCTCTTTGAAACAAAAGCCCGTCCGTGGCAAGGATGGGGACAAGAATAGAGCCATGGCCATTGGCACGAAGCGGGAATAATTCCACACTTTTCTCGAAAGGCCTCAGGCAAAAGGGGTTGCAACTGCATAGTAGGCCTGGGAAGAAAAGAAGTGTTTGATCCCCGGGCTCGTTGATTGTTTGTGCTTGTCGGTCAGTATGTTTGTTTGCGCCGGCGCCATGCTCTCGCAGAATTGTTGTGTAAGCTCAGCTAGCTCCAAGCTCCAAGCTCCAACCCAACGGTTGACCTTTGGATGAGCCGTCCGACCAAGGCGATCCAGGACCCGCTTACAGACGCGCTCGGCGCCGAACTGCAGCTTGAAGCGCTGCCCAATGGCAGCGAAGTCCGTAGGATCGCAACCTTGTTTGTTCTGCCCCCTCCGGATCCCCCTCATGCTTCCCCAGCGGCAAAGCAGACCAGCGGTCACCAATTCCAAATTTGAGGGTTCGCAAGAGTAGGGGCGTCGGCAAGATGAGATCCGTCTGATCCGAGACTCGGAGTTCTTACTCACCCAATAAATACATGTCGAAAGTATATTTTTGCAAGGGATCTTACCAAGTCTTAAACCGATCAACTTATACTCTAGGATTCATTCAGCCTTGAAAAGTCTCTTTGAGCCAGTATTGAGTCTGTGCAATGGAGTTGATAGGGCTTTGAGCCATTCAAAAATCATCGCTCTACGATTTATGGAGCTAAACTGGGTCCGACATTTATTCATGGGGGGTGATAGTCGCATTCTACAGTAAGATTTTGAGCCTCGGAAATTTTTTAAGATTCGGAGACTCCAAGATTCAGTATAAGGATCTCTCCAATGCGAGTCCCACAAGTACCCCTTCGAAATACTACGTACTAGTAGTAGTAGTATCTTGACTACATGCATGGTACGGGTAGGGCTTAATTTATACTACTACCCTTAGTACTACGTACCGTACTACTATCTGGCTCGACCTGCTTGCTGCAAGCTCCTGCACTCCTGCACGAAATGCAGCGGTGTGCCCCAAAACGTCGGCGCACCAGGATTCCCATCTGTCTTGTAGTACTACTGTATGTTGGTTAAGGTTGATCCTCGTTTCTTTTCTCCTCTCTCATTTCCTCGGGTACTCTCGTCTCGCCAGCTGGTGGCTTTCGCTGTTGGTCCTGGTCTTTTGGCCGCGGCCGCGGGTTCGGGAGGAGCTAGCCTGAGGTATTGGAGAAGATACTACTAGTAGTAAGTAGTAGTTGTACTGTAGATGTCTGTCTGACTTCCAGAACGCAGCGTGGTCACTTCACATGCGGCAGGGATGTAGTGGAACTACTCCGTATGGCTTGATATCGAGGGCCTCGTCGTGATAGAAACTCTGCTTCGGTTCAGGGGATCGGTCCTGTCAAGCGAAGCAACTCCATTCGTCTGGTCTGTTTGTTGCCTTTAGCCGCTACGATAGGGTTTCTGCCCAAGCGGAGTATAACAGTCAGTGCGCTGCCTTGGTTCCTGTGGGCTCTCGGCATATCACCACTCTTATTAGTTAGTAGTTGTATTTGGTACGTATAAGATTAAAAAGACATTGGTACCTGTGGTGGGCTCTCGGCATATCACCACTCTTATTAGCTAGTGGTTGTATTTGGTACGCATAGGATTAAAAAGACAAAATTACAAGCTGCTAATATTAGTAAAATGAATACCTTCAATATCGAATAGACTCGATCAGATAAATAAATATATCTTTCCTTGAACCTACTTCAGCGTGAGTTCATAAACCTTTTCACCATTTTCTTCTTGTGCAAGCTCGTTCCCCTTTGTCAGCTCGCATTATTAAACGACTCCGAAACTTTCCGATTTATGTCGGATATCTGCGAATACGATGCTACTATCGAAATCTACATCGCTTTTGCTAGCTTTGAGCTTTCTCTTCATTAGAGCTCAAGGGTTTGACGAAAGCCTCTTAAACAGAGAAGTTATCGGCTATCGAACAGCTTCAAAGGTAAATTTAATTCCACTTGAATTATATAACACGCTTATATTGACTACGCGAACTATAGGAAGAAGCCGAGAAAATCAATGAGAATCATAAGCCATATAGAGACAAACGATTCGATGAAGGCCGACGGCTTAATCAGTTAGGGTCTGGCTTTTATATGAGTGAGTTTGTTTATGTTTATGATCACGGGGAGCTAATAATCCAAATAGCACCAGATCCTGCTGGCTGGGAAGGTGATATGGATAAAGAGAACTGGTATTGTGTTATCACGGCGGATAGTGACAAGATTAAAGACGCGCGCAAAATATACATCCCAGAGTATTACGAAGAGACTTCGCATGAAGAGATTGAGGAGAAGATGTTATGGCACGAAGGCGAAGAAGTCATCGTGGAATACATCAGGAAATTCTTACCAGACCCCGAGAAAGTGCTACGCTTCTCATATATCTCACTTTACGAGGAAGATACGCAGATGCTCATTCCAACTGATATGCTGAATAGCGATGTGTTGGATTTATGGTCTCAATGCTATGCAACAGAGGCAGAGCTACTAGCACACTCGAGAGAAGTTATTGATTGGAAGAAGTGGGACATTGCTGGAGACCCTGGAATACCGGTGCTTTGGGGCTAGATGATGCCTGAACCATGCTCTGGCTCTGTAATGTAATAATTAAAAGGGAATGGTTCGTCGATAGAACTCATATATGTCTGTCTGCAAAGGCAGAAAACGACTCGTCCGCCCTAGAAGTTTGAAGAGGTCGAATAATGAGCATCCAGCGCGGCAAGTGAAGCCGGATATCCTGCTTTCCTCGCGGAGAAAATTTTCCATTCTTGAACTGATGCGTAGCTGCCGTCTGATCGGGATGGCTTTTGAGGACGTTGGTCGAGGCCATGGAACCCCGCACGTGCCAAAATCCATCCCGTCCGGCGTCCATCAACTAAGCTCTAGAAGAGTCGTGACAGCGACAATTGGATTATGCCTCGGACTCTAATGGGATCTAAGCATACCTCGGACCTGCTTTGATTGCAACTCAAAGTCCAAGGCGGCACATCAAAAAGTGATCGTCGGCTCGCTTAGGTAGGTAGGCCTCCTTACATCCTTTCAGTCTAAATCGGCGTAAGCGATTGCGGATCGGAAGCGAATGCGGATTTTTCGTATATATTGGAAATTCCTTTATATTATTATTATCAAAAATTGAATCTATCGCTATTGATAGTAATACTAGGAAAATGAAAAAAATCTTGGTTTCTCTAGTATCGGTTGTAATTATTGAATCATCGTTATCGAGAAAAGGTTTAAGTTGAATGAGAGTTGGTCGAGGAATAGATTTCTTACGAGGCCGCAAAACCTGACGCTTGAGCGATTGTTGCAACTATTAAATCTCTTTCGAATCGAGAGTTATAATAAGATTAAATCGTCATCTTCAATAATCAAGCTTGCAGCAAAGCGTTTTCGTATAATACTTTTCTGCTCGCGCTCAGCTTTGCGTAAATCGATACTTATAAAATACAACTTATAACATCACCTTTTGATCCACAACCGCACAACCTAATTGTATTTTATAGTAGTAATTAATGATAAGCCGAAAAAGCATTCATCCGAAAAAGCTTTTAAAATTTTTTCAATACATAAGCTACGCTTAGCCAAGTAGTCTTAATGCAATTAAAGATCTTGCGACGCGTCTCCGACGCGCTACAATATTCTTGTCCGAAATACCCTTAAGAGACTCAAAAAACTACCGCGCGTATATACGACCCTAGTAAGCGCAAGTGAAATAATCACCTCAAGCGACCGAAGTGCTAAAGAAAGTCTAACATCTGCTGCAAAATAATAAAGAATCGTTAACAAGCTTTAAAAAAAGGAAAGAGATGCTGAGTATCATAAATGTAAAAATTAGAATTAAGGTAGAAAAATCTGCATTCGCTTTCGATCCGCAATCGCTTACGTCGACTAAGACTGAAAGGATGTAAGGAGGCCCATTTAAGCGAGCCGACGATTGCCGATATCCGGAGCTTTATACACACATATAGGTAGATGCATGGCTTGGCGGGACAGACTTCTGAGCATGGCGAGTACAGAGCCAACCGCGATAGCCGGCACTTTTGATATCTTCATCCTCCAAACTCGTCTTCGAATCCGTAGATTCACGTTTTGAACCTGGGCTACCTTCCCGAAACATAGACATTAGGTAATTCGTCTCGAGTACATTCCAAAGTTCAAACGTCTACCTATTTATCCTTGTCCGTCAAAGAAAGGATGCCTAAGAAGTAGGATCCCATTTCAGAATCCTCATGCTTACGACCCAGTTAGACCTTATCGAACCCTCCTTTTTTGAACGTTATCAAACACTCGGAGGCGAGTTTCAAGACGAAGGACGGCTCGATCTTTGCGAATCAGAATTCTGATTCTCGTAGCCGCTTCCTAAGCGCCCCCTTATAAACCTCACCCCTCGAGTTGGACGCCACCAACCTTCGATACCTATTTCAGTCGTCGGCGTTTTCCGCCAGTCTAATATCTCTCAGCTACACCATCATTGTGGTTATCAACGCCAATCCTGTAGAAGACCATCTTCACATAAGCTTCCTTGAAGACTTGGACCTGCATGGAAACTCTCCAGGGCATGCACGACCTGGTTCGACCGGCGTCTTGCCACTAGGTCTCTGGACCTCTCCTCTGTGGCGAGAGATTCGGGTCTTCGTGGCTGGGCCTGGGGTTCGAGACCAGCGCGTGGGTCGAGAGGTCTCCCGATGCAGGTACAGACGACATATCACCCACTCTCGTATAATGGCGAACGTCATAGAACCGATGAGCTTGGGGAGCGAAGGCATAAGCGCTCAATGCAGATACTCTACCAAATTTCACCACAGGGTGCTTCTGCAAGGCTAGCTCGAGTGATCAGCTTCAAGCGCCGCAACCCTAGAGCGATACTGGCACGGGAAAGGACCGCCTTCCTGCCAGGCTGAGGCCCCTCCGCGATGGCATTATAGTACGCACGTTCCACTGCACCCGCGCCTATGAGATCTTCTGCGAGTAAGCGGCTCTATTAATAACCACGCGGAAGAGAAGATGCTTGCAGGAGCTGTGGTCGAAAAAGAACTTCTCCTGTCCCGCGATCCACGGTCTAGCGACCCTTCATCTCATCACATACCCTCCCCTCGTGCATACGGATATTGCCAGCACACATATCAAACTGCCATCTGGGGAACCTTGTCTCTGGCTCCCTCCTTTACTAGTCGAATGTGTGGAACTCGTGGTATTATTAGCACTCCTCCGTGCCTTTATTTAGGAGACCAACGGAGCCGTAGCTTGCGCGAAGCCTATTTCAACCTCATGGGGGTCGCACCAACGTCTGTCTCATAGCGGGTGTCACATGCAAGTATCTTTATATATATATATATATATATCTTGTTGGCTTTCCTTGTCTACATCCGAGGATAAAGCTTCGATGTTTCGCTCCTATGGAATACGATTGGAGGCACAGTTGTAGAAATTTCCGCTGCTTTTAGACAGCCGGGATCACCTTTCCGGGAGTATCGATCATTTTCGTATGCGAGTGAGCCCGACAACGCTAAGCGTACGCGAGGAACGCCAACTCACTGGTTCCGAAATGTTACGGGAGAAGTGTTTCTTAAGTGTTTAAGCATTGCTACTGTCGATCTTGTTCTTGCTATTAAATCTAGTATTAAATTTGGACGTTCATTACTATGAATGCGTGGTTCTTTTGCCGTTGGATTTTCATTGTTGGTAATCAATTAGAGAAGTAGAGTTGGTGGGGATGTCGCCACTGGCGGCGGGCTTGGGGTAAACTCGTCCGAAGCTGTCTTGTAATTGGACATTTTTCTTCTTCCAAGTCACATTCTTCAACAGCTCTTTCCATTTCTCCATGGCCTCTGATGTGTTTGGGCAAACGCGCTTATTTGACGGGGTGATGACTTTCTGTTGTTTACCTATTTGAACCTTATGACTAGGTAGCAGGCGGCGGCATGATGAAAAAGCACGTTTCGAAATCGCTCCAATTCGCTCCTAAGTCGGATTTGTTGGCAGGGGGTATTGCCTCAGGTATCTAGCTGTGCTTGCACGTATGGAATGGAGAGCTTCCAACGTCCGGCAGCGATGGATATGATATCGCGGTTGTGGTAAGCTGACCAGTTCGTTGTGAGAAGAGATTTTCAGGTTCAGGAAGTTTCCCTGAAGCAGGCAGGCAGTTCCTGTGCCGCCTTTTATCTCTTCTTAGTGTGCTTTCACTTGCTGTAGAGCTAGGTCTTGCCTTGACTGCAGCTTTCCCTCAATTGTCGGGGTTAGTATTTCAAACGTTGGGGAAAAGGTGCTTTCAAGTCTGGAGATACTTTAAACAGGCTTCGGGGCTCAGAACCTATTGTTGGTACTCGATCAGAGTAGTAGAGTAGTATAGTTGGGGGTTCACGAGGATGCATTTCGAGTGTGGTTGATTGACTTGATTATCCAGTACTAGGAGTTGGGACGAGGTTGTAATAGGAATCGAGTGCCAAGGCTCTGGCCAGCGCATACCTCACCTAACAACAATTTTGATGAGGGATGAGGTGTCGAGATTCTGCTAGGCGACTTGGAATATATCGAACGCTGGGGAGATCCGCTCGGGAGTAGATGCTGTTAATGGCGGTTAGATGATCGAAGTAATACAGATCTGACATTTTTGCTTGAAGATGGATTGTGCAGTTGTATTTTTGCAACGGATAAATAAGATTATCGATGGCTCTTCTTTGCGTCTAAGTAGATAAGGGACTTAGCCAATTCCTCTAAGCGGATAAAAGTAATCCTTACGCTTGAAATGATGCGAGCAAAAGTGTAATCATAAGGCTTTGTGACTCGGAGCTAGCTCGTAACTTTAGTATGAGAGCCTGGTTCACACTCGTCATTTTGAAGGGGCCTGAGCAGGTGGCGAGCAGTTTCTGTTTATCATTTATAGACTCTTTACTTGTCTTATCGTAGTCTCTAAGAGTCCACGCATCCTGGGGATTACCACCCTCAATCATCGTATAGTCAACTTACTGATTCATACAGAGATGTTGAAACGGTACGGCTCGCCGCGAGGAAGGCTAAATCGCAAACTAGCAATAAAATCGACGATCCGTTTACAGATATCCTAAATGATTATCAAAGAAATGTGACCACTACTGCTGTCAATCATGCAAATCCGCAGCGAGGCTCCTACCGCGATAACAAGATGGGTGTTGTCAAGATTGGTTGCTGTTGTCGTTTTCGGATCGTGCTGTGCTTTCTGCCATTGATACAGGGCTAAATCATGGCAAGCTGGGCCATGATCGACGACTACCTAGGGGGCTGGTTCATAGGCAGCAGAAGGTTTGAGATGAGAAGCAGGACGCCGAAGAGTAGCTACGCAATACTCATACTTCCTTCGATCTCCTGGAACTTGTTTCGTTGGATGTTGAACAGTCGAAATGGGTTGGTGTTCCCCGACTCTTTCAGATCTGGTATCATATGTCTCCGAAAGAGGTAACTGGAGAGTCTAAACCCAAAGATCTGCCGAACAGTTCTTGTTTGTTTCTGCGATTGGATTTTCTTCCGACTCTAATTTAGAGTGTATTCTCTCTTCGTTGAAAGAAACGGTTTCATAGCGCTGATGACATAGGTAAAGTCTGTTTCTTGCTAGCAGATTAATCAGTAGATAGGTACTCCATCTTTATTTCTTGACAATGGCATCATTTTTCGCATCCTAGTGGGAGATTACCGCCAACAAGTAACCGCCACACGATTTCCCTTTTGTGAGTTCCACGTCCTTCTCTGACGCAATCGTACTGGTTGGCACGGAAATCTAACGATGTCGTATAAAGTAGCAACCAATCAGTGCTTTTACCAAAAGGCCAGCAGTCCGGAGACTGCTCCGAATTCTTTCATGGAGAGACAAGAGGTGACAGGTCAATAAGCGCTGACCATTCCAACGCTTCATATTACTGCAATGAACCGTCTACTTGTTTCCACAGGGATAGCGAGAGAGCAAGGTAAAAATGAGATCGACAGTACATACTACATTGACAATAACGAGATACATCGTAATTTCTCGATTTCTGCTAGAGCGGACTCAATATACACGACTAGCTGGGTACAGATGAGACTTGAGGTCTTTGACTCTGCGAGGGGGGTGGAATAGAAGGATCCCTTTCTTGGCACACACGCCCAAGAGAGGCTGGATGAGTAGCTTTCGGGGAAGCAATATTACTACTGCAATGACTTGCACTACATGATCTGAGAGGGGCCGTTGTCTTATGGCACTTGGCTTGTACAGTTAGTTCATTATTCGGAATGAGACCTGATTCGGAATCGCGGAGCAGGGACCCAAGTGGTCATGAGTGAAGCCTGGCTTCCCAAATCCGAGATCTGCTGCAAGTCAACATCTGTTATCTCGCCTTTGGGGACCGCAGTATATCTAAAGTATTGCATAAAATAGCAGACGCATGAATTTCAGACTGGACAGAGAGCTAGTGCCTGTCGTCAAGCGTCGGCTTATGCGTGGTTCGCACCCGTAGTCATCTTGATGCTGATGGCCAGAGCGACGTTCGGGTTTTGCACGTCCCGTAAATTGACTTATATCGATCTACCTAAAAACTTCAGAAAGCGCTGGAATAGGCTGGGGCTTTTAGAGATGTACAACTTCATGTATACTTCCACTGTCGTGAAGTGTCTCGCTGTCAAACCTCGTATGCAGAGTCGAGAAAGAATTCCTCCTGAGTGAGGCACTGCGTAACCTTCTTGGAAGTTGATTCGATCGCTTGTTCAGCAATTATAGGTTGCCATGTGTTTCGATCAGCGATGTCCTTATCCATGGCCTGCATCTCGACTACGACTGACGGCAAGTGGTCTCCTTGGTTTCTTCCACAGTCCATCATGATATAGGAAACTCTCCTGTCTTCGAGGTCATAGGTCGAGTGTTAGGCCTGGGCAGTCTCTACATCCTTACCTAGGATGGAAAGCTTTTCCAACGTAAACAGCTAACGTACTACGTAGCTTTCGGTCGTTGGACCAGGATCTCTTGAGTGTAAGCCCCATCCTGGATTCCCTCTTCGGCAAGACAGACAACGCAAGGTATCACAACCAGTAAAGCACCTATAGAGCTTGAAACTCTAAGCGGTCAACAGAGTAGCAAGAAGCTTAAATTTTCGCTTGAAGAGATCAAGCTTCATCTGCAACCTACGCACATCCGCTTTGCTCAGAACAGTATGATGACTACCGAGTGGCCTCCCATTGAAGAGGGTACGCGTGCGTTGGGGATACCGTTATTCCAATGCAAAGAGCCGTAATCATTGGAAACAGCAGTAATGCCTGGGAAATAGCAGCCACGGAGTAATGGTGTATACACTCACGACTTACGGGACTCGGCAACGATATACAACTTGACAGCAGCAACAAGCCACAGCACCAGCTCACGACATACATCGAGGATCTGCCGAGTTTTCTACAGTATATTGACAAGATGCGAACTTTCTGCATCCGACTCTTTAATCTGAGAAGTTTGAACATGGGTCGTGTCCAAATTCCGGGCATGTTTTCTTCTCGGTTCCGTGATAGAACTCGAAAGAGGCAAAGAACATATTTATGCTACCTACTTAAGTCTCTCGGCTTCCTCTCGCTTCGAAGTACTGCCGCCATATTTCTAAGTCTGCAAGTGAGTGCATGAACGTGGAGTACTTGCCTTGCTCATCGTCGCCTTCGCCTGATAATGGCGGACGGTCTCGCCAAGACCTATCGCAGCTGCCAAGCCCACTCATTACAGCATTCATTCCCCTTACAAAGATCATCTCTACAGCGTACTACATACCCTCTTCTTATCAAGATAAGTTTAACCCTCCGGGATAAATGAGGCAGACAGGCACTAAGGTTTATTCAAATTCGGAGATGCAAATCTTGTCCATCGGCTAGCGAACCCGTTGCTTTGCTCCGAGTTGAATACTACTGTAAGATTTCATCAGATCTCGATAAGCCATCTCGAATGAGTGCACGATCACGCAAAAGACAGAGAGGTTGAACGGAAAGTAGAATCGGGAGAACGTATAGTGGTAAAAATGTGCTAGGAAGCAAGAAGAAGCCATCATCGTTACCATTTATACTGTACACCCGCTAATCATACGGCTGATTCCCAGACATAATACCACACCCCCTACTTCCTCTGCCGCTTCGAGTCCTTGTCGCTCGCTGTGCTCAAAACACTTGCGCTTCTCTTATGCTGATTCGTACTCGCGCTTGTGCCCTTCAGACTCGGGGCAGCGCTCTTCTCTCTGTCTGGCTCAACCTTCACGGCCCCCTGTTCCCCTGTTCCTCCACCTTCAGAATTCTCCACATCAGCCCTCGCAGCACGCTCCCTCCTCTCCCGCTCCGCCTTGACGTTCAATGCCGTGTTCAGCTCCCCCTGCAACTTATCCATAAGCTTCTTCTGCTCCAGCAGCTGATTGACGCCGCTTAGCAGGCTGTCGAAAGCCTCGCCCACCTCAGCAGTCGGCATGAACAGCGTTGTCGTGAGTCCAAGCTCAGCCAGAACGTTAGCAATCTTCGTTTGCTGTATCGTCGATTTGTTGGCGATGGGTTTCTTGATTCGCTCGCTGCGGAAATTGGGCCCACTGGTCGTGATACGATCGAAGCGCCTCACGCCGTACATGGCTTCTTCTTCAGGAGACAGTTGACGACGCTCCGGTTGCTGATTTTGCGGCGGCGCTTTCTTATTGCTGGGGGCGCCGCCTCCACTGGGGCCAGAGACGGATTCGCGGACGCTGGACTCTCTGCGGTCAGAGGTAGCCTGCTGGTTCACGCCACTTGGGCCTGGTGCTGGACTGGCGCCAGCAGATTCTCCAATGGACTTTAGTCTCGACTTCTTTGACTTGTCGATGGCCATGAGCTGTTGGAATAGTTGCCCTAGGCCTTGACTGGAACTATAAATTGCGGTGCTCACAGAGGCATTGCCGGTGCTGGGGGGTGCCTCCAACAGATGGTATAGCTCCTTTCTTTCGTCGCTCAGTTTTTCAGTCCGGGCCAGGATTCGCTTGAGCTCTAGCAACAGGCTCTCTTCTTCCTTGGCTTCTTCGTTTGTCCGTTTGAACGCGGTCTCAGCAAACCGTTTACGATTTGCCTCCTTGACTGGATCGAAGTTCTTCATGAGTATGAGCAGTTCATGTTCGGCATTATTCATATTCGGCGGTGAAGTGTTGATCTCCATCATTGTCGCCCCCACAACGTAATATCTCTTCTTCATGTCCTCCATGGTTCTGACCCGGCCAAGCGGCACCATCGCAACATCTGCAGAACTAGCTCCCGGTTGGGGCGCTGGAGGCTGGTAATCGTATCGATCCCATATTACCGGCCATCTCAAATCATATTCCTGTACCAAAGCAAGCAGATAGTCCGTCTCGTCCTTCGTCCAATCCTCACTACGCAGCTTCTCGTTGTACTGCTCGTCCGTATACTGAGGCGTATCGACCTTGACATTGAACTTTGCAAACGCCGAATCCTCGATCCCCTCAGCATTTCCATCCTCCCTCCTCCTCCAATGGCGCAAAACCAATTGTTCCCCGTTCCTGGCCGAGTTTTTGAACGGCCTCAGATCCCACTTGGCGGCTGGCTTCCGGCTTCCGAATCGCTTCTTCTTGAACGATGTGATCTCGGGCACAATGGAAATGGGGTTGTCGCCTCCTAGTTCCTGGACTTCGCGTGCAAGGCCCTTCAGAACAGGTCGCGGGGCGGAAACCTTCTGTCTCTTTCCAGGCCGGGGGCCTGCCTCGCCGGGCAGATCCAGCATATCGCGGACATCATGGGAAGTCATTTTCCTAGAGCAGTGTAAATTAAGCGTAGAACTTCCGTCCGAAGGGGTTCCTCAATAACGGGGAGTCGTTGCAACACGTCGATGATCAGATATACCGGAAGGGTACGCGTCGGAATCTGTACTCCACACTATGTGCAATCGGCACGTGATAACTGAAACTGAATTCCGGCAGGGGTCGTTGAAAGTCGCGAACGTGGCCCGGTTGAAGCAGCGAAGGGCGAAGTGAAGCAGCCCGCGCGAACATCCTAACTACAACTCAACGTCTCAATCCACGAACACAATTCTCGAACTGTAGTCCAGCAGCAATGCGTTCTATCATCCCCCTCCTCTCGCTGAGCGCGCTGCTTGTCCCGGTCCAATCCCTATACTTCTACATTGACGGCACAGCTCCCAAATGCTTCTTCGAGGAGCTGCCGAAGGATACGCTGGTAGTAGGACACTTCGATGCAGAGGAGTTTGACGAGACCGCGAAAACGTGGACAAAGCACGACGGGCTCAACATCCTGATTACCGTTGATGTATGTCCTGCCCATGTCCCAATTCAAAATTCCAGCGCTGCCTTTGCAGAGCCTAGCATTCTTTGGATCTGAACGGAATACGGGCTGATAGGTACAATAGGAGGTATTCGATAACGACCACCGGGTCGTCAACCAGAAGGGCGCGCACACCGGCCGCTTCACCTTCAGCGCTGCCGACTCGGGCGACCACAAGATCTGCTTCACGCCTTCCTCCACCACCAGGACCGGCGGCTGGCTCTCGAACGCCACGCCCCTTGGTGGCGTCCGCCTCACCCTCGATTTGGCCATCGGAGCGACGAGCCAGATCGAGAGCACGGATAAGGGCAAGATTGAGGACATCGTCAAGCGGGTCAAGGATCTGAACGGCCGACTGCAGGATATCAGGAGGGAGCAGGTATTCCAGCGGGTAGGTCTCCGATACCGAAATGGATTTTTTTACCTAGGAATGGATAAGGATAGATGCTAATTTTTCTATAGGAACGAGAGGCTGAGTTCAGAGATCAATCCGAGTCGACAAATGCTAGGGTAGTTAGATGGACACTGGTTCAACTGGTCCTATTGGGTATTACTTGTGCATGGCAATTATCCCATCTCAGGGCTTTCTTCATTAAGCAGAAGTTAACATAGAAGTCTTCTCACTTGCGGGAATTGGCTAGATAGGTCGTCGGATTGTGAGATTTGTGTAAAGTAGAACCTAGGGAGCACGGAAAGGACGAAGTTCTTGACTACCCGATGATTTATTAGGCGCATCATCAAACCATCACACAATGAGTACGAGAAAAGTTGACGACTTCACATGAAAAACGAGATCAAAGCCCAGGACGACGAGAGGTCACGATAATTTTCGAAATCTTTTACTCCATTCGTGGAACTGCGAGCCCGGTAAATACCAAGCCCAATGCATCTAGTTCACGCCCATTCGCCGTTGCTTCGCTCCTGAAATGGAAAGTGATAGATACATCGCAAATCGCTGTCGAGCGACCCGAGACTTGATGAGTCTTTTAGTTTGAGACAGAGCCGTAAGGAAACGCGATGCTGTGCTGTTGCTTGACGAGGAAACGGAAAAAACAAAATATTAAGTCACGCAGGTAACTCTGACACGAGCCATGCGCCGGGCGGAGGAGTTTATGACGGGGGTGAGTGTATGCGAGACGCTCGCAAAAGGCGGGAAGCGGACTTGCATGCAACAAACAGCGAGAGTCGTGAACTGCTAAGAGCAGAGTAGAAGGGCAGGATTGCAAGCCTCTGTTCGCTTGTAGAAGGTTACATGGTCTGATTAGAAAGTGGTGGTTCGAAGTTGAGTTTAGTCATGAACGCCCTCGGGAATGGCAAGCGAGTTGAGCAGGAAATCTTATGAAGAAGAAACCCGAGTGATCAAGGGGAGATATTCATCCTGGCAAGTCATTTAGTTCGTCTTCTCCAATAACCTCAAGACTAGACTAACCGCAGCACAGAGCTTTCATCAGCTTCTGGAAGCCTGTTGGCTGAGGTTCTGGGCTTCTTCCGTTCTGGGGTTGAGCGCTCATGTTTGGCTGAGTCGACATCCTCTGGGGGAGGTTGTTCGAGCTGTTCTGGAATTGCGCCTGGGTTGAGCCTGCGGGAGTAGCGCCGTCTTGGAGGTTCCCCGCCGCTCCGCTGCTGCGTTTTGGGACCAGTCCGCCTGGGGCGTTTGGTCGATCGCGCGTCTTGCCCATTCCCGGTTTGATTGGGGAAGGTGGCGGGGGTTGCGCGGCATTTAAACGGGCGGCAGTGAGATGACCTGGCGTATTATTTCCTCCTCGAGTGGTTCCATGCAGCTCTCTGTTTGATGCCCCGGGGGCCACGTTGGGTTGGTGTAGCATATGTTGCGAAGGGTGCTGCTTCATAGCTTCCCAGCCTTTTCCATTGTTGATCTTCATCCAGTCGTACTCTCCATCCTCCACATCTCCAGTGTTCTTCAGTGCTTGGGTGAATAGATCACGAAGGTAGTCGTAGTCAGGAACGTCTTCGAATCCGAGGTTGCGAACGTAGCTCAGGTACTTGTTGAATTCTTCAGGGAAGCCGTCACAGAGATCCTTGATAGCAGTTGTCTGCTTTTTCTCCCCAATCTTCTCGTACTTTTGCTTGTTAGTGGCAGCCTTCAGTCCCTGCCAAGGCAATCCTCCTCTCAGAAAGTACATAAAGACGTGTCCCAGTGCCTCCAGGTCATCTCTTCGTGATTGTTCTCGGCCCAAATGAGTATTGATACTCATATATCTCGCAGTACCTGATAGTGACTTTCGCTCCCTGTAAGGAATGTGCTGTTTCGTCTTGGGGTCTCGGTATTGCTTTGCCATTCCAAAATCAACAACATGAATCACATTCGCGGTTTTCGACCCTGGGCGGCCAATGAGGAAGTTGTCGGGCTTGATATCGCGGTAAATGAGGTTCTTCTCGTGGATTGTTTGGACTCGTGAGAGCTGAAATGGTTAGCAAGCAACACTCGGAACGATCAGGAACATTACCATTTGCTTCGCTACCATAACAACGGTCTTTGTCGAGAACCTTCTATTGCAGTGGTCGAAGAGATCCTCCAAAGATGGTCCGAGGAGATCAATGACAAGAATGTTGTGCAGGCCTTCTTGACCAAAGTAATAGACATTAGGGATCCCGGCTAGTTTGTATCAGTGCTGTGCATATCCAGTATTGCATGCTGGGTACTCACGGCAGCCGACAAGAATTTTGTATGTACGATACTCGTCTCGCAATTGCGGTGCATCGCTCTTTCGAGGTTCCTACGAGGCCGCGATATTAGTTGATATGGTCTCCTTAATCTATCAGATCGTCTTGGATGTGAATGCAGAAGTTGTTGGAGGCTGCAGATGTGCAGAGAACCTCACGTACAAATTTGATAGCGACTTGTTGATTGTTCAACAGGTTGGTCCCCTCGAAGATAACACCGAACGAACCCTCTCCGATCTTCTTGCCGACACGGTAATGGACCCCGACTACGTTGGAAGATGAGGAAGCCATTTCGAATAACTAGGAGTTTAGGATCGAACCCTGCGTGGGAAGGAGTGTCGAAGATAAGAAGATATCTGAGAGCCTGTTTTCGAGAAACGCGAGGCTCTGTAAACAACGCGGGCGATGATGACTGAGAGGAGTAGAGAAGTTATCAGCTTGCGACACTCTCCAAATGATAAGTCCCGGCGATGGCGGCCCTCTCCTCTCCCACAACGATTGGCCGTGTTGATGGAGGTTGTGGTTGTCGAAGGGGGGAAAAGAAGAGAGGTGGAGAGAGGAGCGGTCGTCGAAAGCTAGTAGGTGCAGCATCTAGAACGTAGAACGGACTTACAAGCGACACACGCTCTCCATCCAGAGATGCAGCAGGGGAGGCAGTCCTCTCGAAAAGGCGGGCGCAGCAGGGTTGAGGCTTAGAGATGCCGCGACATCTATTGTAAGTAAGTCCCAAACGATTCTTGTCGTGAAGGAGAGATGTAAAGAAGAGTCGGAAGGGGGGTGGTTTTCTGCACACAGGTCAAATGAATTCAGCGTGAAAAACTGAATTGGCCCGTGGGTAGGCACGGATATTCACAGTCGATGGAGCAGCAGGGGGGATAGAAATTACTGTACGAAATAGAGGCACCAATGTGACTGAGGCAGAATTCGGGCCAAGCAAATCGTGATGTGGTATGCGGCCCGCCCTACTTAGGATCCTTGCCGCCGTGCGCATATGGGCAACCGTACACCGTACTATGTACGTCGAGTCGAGTCAAGTCGAAAATCAAATCAATTCAAGTCAAGTCAAACCGAGCGTATCAGCGATATGCGGTGAGTATGCACGGAGCAGAGCCAGAGTTAACGACGACTTCGAGAGAGAGCGAATCTGCCACAAGGTCAACAAGGCATGCCCGTGGAATGAAATACAGCTGATAAGATGCTATTCAGATGGGCTCGACTCTCCTCTATCCAGCTCCGACGAAGCCTTCGAGGAGAAGCCCACCCAAGATACCGTACATGGCTTCGTGTGCTCGGAAGACCTAATGACAGCAGCATAAGCAAAGCAAAGCAAAGCAAGGCAAAGCTGGCGTTGGCTCTACCTAAGACACCCCTTCCCACCAGGACAACTCCACGGTTGCTCCTGTCTAGTAATAGAGTACCCGCTGGTCAAGAAGACGCAGGTCAGTGAAAGAGTACTGTTACCGTAAGTACGGCAACAGCGCACTCACTCTCTAGGCACTAGGGATTCGAAACTCCTCCATCTCAGGGCAAGAGACAAGAGAGGAGCGTGCCGAGGCTAAAACGACCTGCCGGGATCTCGACGACGACAACAACAAAAATTAGCGAAGGGGGTTTCCGCTCTGTTATTTGTTGTTGGCCTTAGCGATCCCGTCGCAGCTCATAAGTATGTAATAGTCAATATAGTTAGTAGTGTACCTATGGCAGGAATGATCATTCATGAGCCAGTCATGGACAACCCGGGGCTATTAGAGCCCATCCGTCATCCTTCCATCCATCTACCTATCTAGGGGAAAAGCGCTCCAACAGAGACCGACCTCGAGCTCCTCAACAAAAATGCTCGACCACGTCTCACTCCGACCAGCACAGCACGGCATATCGAAGCACAGCACACAGCAAATACCAAGTAGGTAGCAGACGAAAACACCAACCGGATGCAGGAACTCAGCTTGCATGCATACTGCTGCAGCTGCAGCTGCAATAGTAGTAGTAGGCGTTGTTGTCACTGCAGGACCACCCATCCTCATATGATCCTCATCCTCATCCTCATCCTCATCCTCATCAATCAGCCAAACCCAAACCCCAGACTGCCGCTTTGACCAGCCCAAGCATACCTACTTAAGTATCAAGAGGAGAAAATGAGAAGAGAAAAAGAGGGAGAGAAAAAGTAGGAACGAATGAATACTTCTGGACCAAACACACATGTTTCCCTGCCCCATTCCATATTACACCATGCCTTAACACACCCTCCTCTTTGTACTCGATTCTCCAGAACCGAGGTCGAGAAGAACGAGAACCACAGCGGTCAGACAGAAAAAGGAGAGCAAAGCAAAGCAAAGCAAGGCAAAGGAAAGCAAAAGCGCTCGCTCGTTCGCTCGTCCCAGCGCTTCAGGACCTGGAAGCCACCTCCTTATCTCTGAAAAAAGCCGTGTCTATGATGCACCTACAGCAGCGGTCTCTTGGGCTCGGACCAAGAGATGAGACCCCCACAAGGTTCTGGCCCACTTTCATTTGCTTTGCGTCCCTCCCACTTGGTATCGGTCGATTATTTCCCATGTCTCGAACATTGTAGATTTGGTTTTTCCCATGCCTCAACCCACTTTTGGAGTAGGCCCGCCTGGCTAAATCTACGCGCTGCTTTATGCAAGAAACTTTGCAGTAAATGCCGCCTACACTCGAATTCTATACGATTGCAACTATAGTATTAATATCCCGATTTGTTTAGCTACAATAGCGGAAATCCCTACTACCGACGCTGTTTTAGATGCTCTATTAAAATCTTCAGACGCTACGTTCCACGACCTCGGCTTCGGTATCCTTGATTCTGATATAGATACAAATCTATTTCTTAAAGCTTCTTAAAAGAAACTTATTTCACTTAAATAAAGCGATGTATTTCACAATCTAAAACCTTTTCAAAACGCAACACTCAATCAGGCTACCCACGGGCGATAGGAGCCTAAGTGTTCGAGTAGCGAGAAGACTTATGTAAAATACGTATGCTACTTTGACGATACATGCAAGTGGCGCGCTCGTTGCAACTACAACCCTCGAACTGAAGAAGCTACGGTATCGGTATAATAAATAAAAACATACTACATGCTTTAATCGTGTTCGTCACACAAGACCGTTAGTTGCGCGGATAGCGTATCTTTTAAAATTGATTCCTTTGCTGATAACTGTAACTAAAAACACATACGTATCCAATTTTTTTTTTTTTTTTAATAAATATGAATAGCTTCAAAATTGTAATCGAGAACTTTAAAAAAGAACAAAGTACCTAATATATAAGCGGCATTACTGAAAAGTTTTCTTGCATAAAGCAGCAGGTGGATTTGGCTACGCGGCCCACTTAAAAAGAGGGTTGAGGCATAGGAAAAACAACTCCACAATGTTAGAGGCATGGGAAATTCTCGGCCCTTGGTATCATCATTTCCCGTCAGGGGCAAGAAGGTCAATAAATAGTAAGAAAGAGGTTGAGTGAACGTCGGTCGAGAAGCTGCCCAGTCCAATCAATCACTCTCCATTGTGCAGTAGTTACTTCGCCTGGCCTCGCACGATCAAAATCCAGTCAGCGCTCTTCTAATGTACAGTAATGCGTGTCTATCCGTGTTTCCCCTGCTCGCTCCCATATGCCCGCGCTCGTTGTCCCAGTTCGCCGACTGAAAGTATCAAGAAAGAAAGAAAGAAAGAAGAAAGAGAAATAGAAACAATTCCGCACGCGCGTGTGTGCAGCTTATATAAGATTTGCTCCGTTGGAATTTTTCGAATCCTGATTCTCCAATCAAAGAGATCGATTGCTACACTGACTTGTCACACATTGCCCAAGCCACCATTTTGCTTCCCTGTGATCTCCTACCGCCGACTTTCAGTACATGATTGCCTGCCTCGTACTACTCCTCCCATTCAACTTCGTCTTGGGCTTGAAACGTGGCTTCGAGTGTAACAAGCCATCGGATTTTTCCTCCTCTCTCCGCTTGAGTTCTCTTTCCTTGCTGTCAAGCATGAAGGCTGCTTCCTGCATCTTATTACCATCTTCTGTTTCATCCGCAAGCGCCTCCTCGTACTCCCGCTCTGCTCGGTCGTAGATAGTTTCGTACCATTTCTCCAGTCGGTGTTTCTCCATGAGCAGCTCCAGGAAGTCTTCTTCCAGTTGCATGTCTTTGAGGATACTTTCCTGGGTGCTGGCATCACTGCTGGTGAACCGATCCTCAAGCTCCTCAGTGCCTGCTACCAAGATTTCACGAGGGTTCATCGCCTTGACGTTTGTGTTTTTGTCAAATAGACCTGAAGTCTGTCAATAAAAGGCGTAGGGAAGGGCTACAAGTGTTGAACTTACGATTCTTGAAGCAAGCTTTGAATGTCTGGTACAATATGGTGGAAGATTCCAGTTCCTGAACTTGCTTGTCATCCTTCTGAGTTGTGTTGTTGATCAGGGACCACTTGTCCGCCAGCATGCAACGTCTCCAAATAATTCGTTGCTTAAGGTGTCGATCATCCTTACTAGAGGTCCCATAGCGGGAAGCTTGGAGTGCAAGGTAGAATCGCTGAGTCTGGAAGATGTCATCTGCGTAAGTTTCGGCTTGATGGTCGCCAATGAGCGTCAAAAGATCAATAAGCTTTGCGGCATCCATAGCCTCATGCTTGATAAGGAGTTCCATACTGTCAGCCAGGAGTCGTGTAAACACTGGTTGCTCCCGCAAAGCCTTGTTGCCGTGGGATTCAAGTGCTAGTTGCAATTCTGCATTTTCGTCGATGGCCATTTCAATGGAAGGACGGACTACTTCGTAGACTTGTTCTTGGATCTTGATCAGCCCGAGCTGATTATGAACCTTAGCAAACTTGATTTTACTCTCGTCGGGTGTCAAAGGCTTGTCCTTAGGGCTACGGGCCCGGCTTGCCAAGAATGCCATTTTGCCCATACTCAACTCGACTTTTTTGCTCCATTGTTCCGATTCGCGAATGAGACCAAGATCAAGGAGAGTCGCCGAAGCATTCCCAAAATCTTCTTCCTTGGTGATGTCGTTAATCCAAGATATCTTTGCATATTCTGGCTTGCTGCGGAGGAATGTGGTCAAGTAATGCTGTTGGTCTTTCCAGTTGTCCAGCAATTCTGCCATCGATCCGACGCTTATCTCATGCTCAAACAAAGCCTCCGCCCATCTCCCACCAAATCTAGAAAACCAGCGTTCGGCTCCCTTTTGGAGATACCTTGAACGACTGTTCCAATGACTTAGTTCTTCGTCATCGAGACCAGGTTCGCGCAGCTTCCCCAGGCTAAACATGAGTTCGTAATGTAGCACTTTCGCAAGAACATTAAGAAGCTCATGCTTCTCAGCCAAAACCATAGACTCGTCTGCTAGTGCGAGGTCGGCGGCCATGATTCCAATCTGCTTGCCCACTATTTCGGATTGAAGCGCCATCATAGTTTGATTCGCTTGCTCTTGCCACTTTTTATCTTCCTGTGAAGAGCCCCATCTCACGCGTTCGAGATTAGATCGAATGGTGATATCAAGTAGAGCTGGAAACTCGTCACGGGTTTTCTTTAAGAGGTCGTTATCTGGCCCCCCCGGTACAAGAGGTCTATCCCAGAGCTCTGATAGAAGCACTCCAGCAAGCTCCGTTTGCTTTCTCAGACTCTCCGCAATGAGATGTGTCGAGGTCCAGATACTGTTCTGCATCTCCTCATAACCCGCCTTCAAAATTCCGTGCTCAAGCTTTTCCTTCCCAAGGCTGTACAGGTCGAGATTAGCGGCCCGAAAGTCGAATGCAGCTTGAAGCCCGCCAACGAGAATGTCATTGGCTTCGCTGACCATGTTCATCACAAAAGCATGGTCTTTTTGGCCATCTTGAAAGGTTATTTTCATGACCTGGAAAGCCCATGGGAATGCCATCTCAAGATTCCATATGTCTTTGATGAACCAATGGCGGACACGATCAAGCTCACCAGCTTCCTCTATGGGCTCGGTCTTGTAATTTTCATGGATATACTCTACGATCTCGTTCATAAGGCCCCGCTTCTTGCCTTCCGGCTTATCTCTGATGGAAGCATCGAAATGTTTCCATATGACTGTTGCGGCGGCAATTTTTTCGGCATCCCAAAGTAGCCTCCATTTCGTGATCCTATCCAGAGAGGCTCCACAGGCTTTGACATACTTCGCGAGGTCTCGCAAAGAAGTAGTTCGAAGCTTGAGATTCTTATCGACTGCTAGATTATCCTTGATATGTGGAGATTCGGACTTCAGAATCTGCTGGCTCAACTCCAAAGCAGCTGCGCCAATTTCTTCTGATGTAAACTGTAGCTCAGGTCGTGCCGTGAAGCTTAACGGGTTCTGCTCTAGATTCCCGAAAAACACGGCCTGTTCAATTTTGCTCTTAGCTGTCACTTGCTGCGCATCAGACGAAGACAGCTTGACAAGGTCGGTAGCTGCGACACGCAGAACGCCCCCACCTCGAACAAGAAGAATGGCTGCTGGGTTTTTGACTTTGTGGCGACGAGACTTGAGATCGTCGGTGGTATTTGATGGTCGGTGCAGCTCTTCCATATTAGAGCCGACAATTTCGACGTTCATCTCTTGCCGAAAATCTATCACATCCTCGAAAGACGGTGGTTGGATATGACTTTCCGACCGAAGCTGCAAGTCGGGGGAGTCCGGTTGCTTTGCCATTGAAATAACAACAATAGCACGATCGAATACGACATATGCAATAATGGCCGGGTAAGGCAAGAATAGTCGAGGTTTCGAGGTTGCATATCGGCTAACGGGGGTTGTATAAGACGTGACAGGACGGGTGCTTGCAACGACCAAGCCATCCTGCTTCAGCACAACTTCTACGAGAAAGTAGTGTGAGCTATCTCTTTGCGCCATGGACACTAACACCAGAAGATCCACGCCATCAGTGTGATCGCTCAGCTGCGATTGGGCGTTTGTCTTGGGCGTAAAGGTAAAGTCATGGATTTCGAAACATTCGACAAGGAGATCACTGAGTACCGGACTGGTAGCCTTGATCGACGTTACGATCGCCTCCCTACTTTCGGCTTCCCCAATGACGGTCGCGTGGCCACCTCGATGTATATTCCAAGACTGTATTTTTCCCTTCGTCGTCGCCAGAACGACGCTTCGCTCCCCAACTCTCTCGGGGCGTGCAGCTCTGACGGCGGCAATATCTCCCCGCAGAGCAGAGCTAGATAGAACATTTCGTAAGCTGCCAAATAACCCACCGCCGAGAATTCCGCTACCACTTCGAAGAAATTGGACCGATATAGCTGCTCTCCCTTGCCCATCTCTGACGCTCATGTATGCAATCCTACCAGTACTGAACGCGAGCAAAAAGCCAGCTGATTCGGCGTTGACAATTTGGATGACAATCTCTCCTGAAATCATCCCTGGGATTGATGATTCGACACCGTTACGCTTCATCCGTAGGTCTAAGGTGGCAGCGGCAGCAGCAGACTCCCAATATGTAATCTTGCCGCTGGAGGGAATGACTACCACCAGACCGGGGTCGGTAGATGAAGCTGGAGGCGAAACAAGGGATCCTAGGGGCAGCGGGTCTGTGACATGCTTTGAAGGGTGCGGTAAAGTAAATACATGACTTTCGGGGGACTGTGAGCTGACCGCGTAGGGCCAGACGATTGCTTGCGTATGTGTGAGAGCTAGGGCGTAACCGGTGTCCGGGTCGAATGATCCATGCTGATGAACTATTCCGCATGATTAGCTTGGACTTTGGTCTCTTCGTATTCCAATATGCGCGTACCTGTAGCATCCAGTCTGAGTACATCTGGCAGGGCGGGAAGCCTGCTGACGGTATATGTATCGTTCGTAGTCTACGGACAACCATTAGCTATTTCCCATTGGGGTAAGGAAAAGAGAGCATACAAGCACACTGGTTCCATCTCCTTTACTAACTCGTTCCGTAGACCGCAAAGGCCGCCCACCTCTCAATGCCATGTCCCGTTGCGCGCCAGGTGCTGAGTCCCTTGAATTGTCCGGTCGAGGAAGTGCTGCGACCTTGTGGTTTCTTGTCTCTTCCATTTCTGGCGCGGGATCAGGAGGAATGAAGGTTTCATCGCTGACCGTCATTCTCGCTTTCTTCGTCTTCGGTCCATTAATACTGTCGCCTCCATTTGCTCTGAGGCGCCGCTTCGTGGTTCTCGTCAACGTCGCCGGGGCCCCGTTTGGCTGAGGAGAGAACATCGTAAATGAGCTTCGATTGATCGAGCAGGAGTTACTCTATCGTCAGGTCGTGCGCCGCCGGGTGCGGTGGGTTGATGTAATCTGATGATCGAGGTCCTGTCGTAATCGGGTGCGTGAAGAAAGTGAACGTAAACAAGTTGTGAATTTGAGAGGCAGTTTCGCTAGCGTGCCCAAGGCGGTATGGACAAGAACCTCACACCTCAGAAAGTCTCCAGGCGCTCTTCTAGAAACCTTCGGAAATGTAATACTTGATCCGCCCTGATTCTATGAATTCATCTTTACTTCACGTAGATTCTTTCCGGGGCATCTTCCACGGTCTCTTTATTTCCCATTTCCTTTTTCGCTCGTAGTCTCGAGATCACGGGGGGAATCTGCCTCAACCTCCCCCTAGATGCGCTTAATCACGAAGGTATTAGAAAGAGTGATACCCTACACAAAATCTATCGTACTTATCAAGTGAAGAGCGGCTTCATTTTTTACAGAAAATTACATGGAAGAAGTTCAAATTCTACATGGTCACGTGATGGTACTACTATCGTCTCGGTCCATAGGTTGACGTATTCCATCCGAGGATTTCCGTATGGTACTTTTTATCCACAATGCCACCTCAACTTTCAAGCGCTGCAAGTACAAGTCTGACGATATCCAATCCACTGGTCTTGTATCGGTCATTATTGGCGACAAGAATCATTGATCCGGACCCTGCTCAACACCGACTTGCACTTGAACTCCAAAAACTATAGTAAGTGCTAGTATATGCCATGCTTGTGCTTTTCGAAATATTCGCATATTTCTTTCTCAATTTCTAAAAACGAATCGAAGTTGCTAATAATTTACTTATTCAGTCTTCGATTGAAGGACTACTCTCCAAAAGCTGAATATGGCGCTCGTCTCCGAGCGGTCACTCAAGCAGTTGAGGACATTCCAAGTCCCAAGGATGAAAATGCGGTAGCAGCACCGGGTCATCCTCTGCGAAGAAATCCTCTGTTTGCTCACTTGTTTCCTCAAAAGCCCGAGAGAGATACTCTTGCTCTGACAAGGATTCTTACGAGCCATGATGCGGCCATGAACATCGATTCGCCGAAAGGAATGCTCCTTCACGGAGAGGTCGGAACCGGAAAGTCGATGTTGATCGATCTCCTCGCCGACAGTCTTCCTAATAGAAAGAAGAGGCGGTGGCATTTCAATACTTTTATGTTGGAGACTCTGGCGAGGTTGGAGCAGCTCCGACAGTCGCGCTCCAAAGGTTACTCAGGTGCGGATGCAGAGCATTCCCTAGTGTGGCTAGCGAAGGATATGGTTGAGAAGACTCCCATACTGTTCCTGGATGAGTTTCAACTTCCTGACAGGGCAGCCAGCAAGATTTTGAGTAACCTGTTTACCGCCTTTTTTCAGCTTGGAGGGGTACTCATAGCGACTTCAAATCGGATGCCAGATGAGCTGGCCAAAGCAAGTGGCACAGATTTCGCTGCACAACCGAAAAGTGGGCTCGTTCGAGGACTCTTTGGATTTGGAAGTAGGGGCAACATGTCAATGTTTCCTGCCAACGATGAGTATGGTGGCTTCGTAGAGGTTTTAAAGGCCCGGTGTGAGATCTGGAATATGGAAGGCGGACGAGATTATAGGAGAAGAGAGACGGAAGAGACCGATGAAGAGGCCGCTGAGATTATTGAGACCATGAGACAAGAGATGATCGGCGGCTTTACAAAGAACGAAGACCTTTCACCTGGGCTGGGAACTTTGGCAGCTGGCGAAAAGGTAGATTCGGAAGCTGATGAGTCAATTCTGAAAAGGGGAGTGACGCCTAAGAAGTATCTGCTGACAGGCATGGACGGCATGGACTCGGAATCCCAATGGCAAGCCGCAATCAAAGCAAGCTTACCGCTCGATATACCGGAAAATACACCATGGAACTCTACGACATTGCAAGTGTTCGGACGCAAGGTCCCCATTCCACGATATCTTGATGGAGTAACGAGATGGTCTTTTGCCGAACTGTGTGGAGGTATGTTCGGCCCAGCCGATTACATTACCATGGCCTCAACATTTCACACATTTATTCTCGACGATGTCCCAATCTTGACCTTGATGCAAAAGAACGAAGCCCGACGCCTCATCACACTCCTGGATGCTCTCTACGAAGCTCGCTGCAAACTCCTCATCAGAGCCGAAGCCGGTCCAGACGACCTGTTCTTCCCGGAGACAAAAATTCCCGCGCCTACCAATGCCCATCGAGAAGATAACGACGGTGGAGATGCCGTTTACCCAGAAACACTTTCCGAGATCTACCAGGACCAGACCTCACCTTTTCGTCCCAACGTCTCTACTTATACAGACACCACGAAAGCCGGCTACGATCCAGATGAAGACTCTGATTTCGGTCCACTGTCTGGCAGAGCAAACGAACATGGACGGAAAGTCGACTTTGGTATGACTAATTCATTTACAGGAGAAGACGAGAGGTTTGCATATAAGCGTGCTCGAAGCAGGTTATGGGAGATGTGTGGCGCAAGATGGCATGCGAGATCTGAGCCTGGGTGGTGGAGACCCTTGCCTACTGAAGTTCGAAGGTGGGAACGTTCAGCATTGAATCCAGTTTCTGCGTCAGACCCTTCGCTAGTGAAAGGCGATGTTAAGATGGGAGAGTCAATCATTCTCGACAGACCAGCGGGTTTGCAGGGGAAAGAACTTGAAGAAAGAGAGCGGATTGCCAACAGTTCTTCCAGGAACGAGCGTGATCCGCCTCCGGAGTTTGGGGTGTGGCAGGCTTGGGGAATCACGAAGTGGGGGAAGAAAGCTGGAGCTTGGGGGCAGGGAGTGGAGGGATTAGAGGAGAGGAAGAAGAAGGGTGGTAGCTGATAAATTTATATAAGTACAAGTATATATTCAAGGAAAGAGACGAGAGGCAGGTAGACCTTGGATCCCCATATCCGACTGGACTCGGGCACAATATTTATGCGTTATTGTCCGATTGTAGATTGGAAACCTTGGTAGCAACTTGATGGCAACTTGGAGAAACCAACTACTACTAGTCTAGCATCTCTGATAGACCTAGTGACTACTCTGAATATGGCATCCGTCGATGAATGAGAAGAATTCTCGTCAATACCAACCCGATATCGACTGAAGATCAAGCCCATTCCCAAACTCCATCCATGAATCCCCAACGCCGAGCAATGCCTCCGTCTCTCGACACTACAGACGTCCCTGGCCACAAAAAAAATCACTGATTGCCCGTCCCCGGTGTCCAGCCCTCCCCAATCTTCCGCAAATCCTCAGCAAACCTCCTACTCGTAATCTTTTTCCCTCCTTTCCCCGCCGGCGGGCTATGCTCATCAGGATCATAGAACGGGTTCTGCAGCAACCGGACGTACGCCGCCTGCATGGCTCTAAAAACCTGTACACCCCACTCATCAGTCCTCTCCTTCCCCTCTGCTGCCATCCCGTCCTCCACGAGCGTGCCTCATTTGCGCAAAGCAGTAGAAGTAGGAGCACAAGTAGAAGAAAAGAAAAGGAGACCAAAAAAAAAAAAAAAAAAAAAACCTACCATCTTCATCTCCCCCTCCCTCAACCCCAATCCTCCCAAATGACCTCCATCTCTCGCCCCAGCGCCTGCATTGGCAGCACCCGCTCCCGCTCCCACAGCCCTCCCCCTCATATCCACCACCGCGACGAAACGCACCCCGGTGTTCGTCTCGAACCCATACGCCGCGAGCCGCTCGTCCACGGCGTGCAGGAGCCCAAAGTCCCCGGACAGGCCGCCCCCGGAATTCGTATTGATCTTGGAGCGCGCCTCGAAGATATCGAGAGTGCTGCTGAGGAGGAGAGAGTATTGGAGCGGGGTGCGGAGCGGGAGGTTGGTCGGCGCCGAGGGGAAGATTGAGATGTGGAGGGGGTTGTTCTGGAGACGGAGAGTTAGCGGTGATTTGGAGGGGGAAAGAAAGGGGAGGGGGCGGTACGTTTTTACCGATTACGCCTAGACAGGCTATTGAGGGTATTGCTGCCATTTTGAAGGATGGTATCGTTGAGAGGGTCGTCGACTCTGAGCTGATGTGGACCCTTAATATTCCATGTCCGACAGCCTCGTATCGCACGCAGCCTTGCTGTGACAGGTACTTAGTTCATGAATTTTGAACAACTGCACATTCAAAGTCCGAGAATTGTATGAGGACTTTGGGGATTTTCCAAAGCTGATATATCAATATTGATATCTACATCCATCCAGAGAAACCGGGCTCATGTTCATGCGATCCATGCTTTCATCATCATCGTACCCAAAAGTTTATTGATCATCAACACTCGAGACCTCAGTCTCCTCAAGAGCTCTCAGAACCTCCTCGATCTCCTTCGGGTCACTGATTCCCCAAACTCCGCCTCCTTTGACCGGATCCTTCCCTTTGATACCAACCTCCTTGCCCACGAGATTCCTACCCACCTTCCCAGGTCCAATGCCAATCCACCTCCTAACGTTCTGCTCCTGATCCAAAAATTTGATACTGTCCCACCACCTCACCGTCTCCACACACTGCCTCGCCCACAGATCCTTCAGATCCTCCTTACTCTGAAACGGCCTGGCACTGACATTACTCACACACTCCATGAGCCCGGGAAACGTCACCAGATCCTCGCTTTCCCTCCCCTTCATTCTACTCTTCCCCTCTAGCAAGTTTTTCATAGCCGTGGCCGCCGGCTTCATCAAAGGACTATGAAATGGACTATCACTCTTCAGTCGTACAGCCCTCGGATCATGGCCCGCAAACTGCCTCACATGCGTCAACAATGTCCGAATCCTCTCAATATTCCCGCTCAGCACGATCTGATTCTTGCTGTTGATATTCGCAATAAGCACTTGTTGAATTGGCGGCACGTCCTCCGCGCTCTCTGACTTTGAGCCGGCGCTATGGTGGCCGAGGAACTCGCGGATAGCTTCTATCAGAGCGAGGAGGTGATCAGGTTCGGTGACTAGGGCCACCATGCCGTATTCGCCGCCGTGTTCTGCGCAAGCCCGCCGTGAGCAGTCGGCCATGACTTCTGCTCGTTTCTGCACCAGGTATAGACTATCCTCGAAGGATACAAAGCCACCTGCTACCAGAGCTGCAAATTCCCCTAGCGAGTGGCCTAGTGTGACATTTACCCTTTCCGCAGGCTTAAAATCAAACTCTTGTTCTAGGATCCGTAGGATGAGGATAGACGAGGACATGATAGCCGGCTGCGCGTTCTCCGTTGTCGTGAGCGTGGAATTAGGTCCTTCCTCTATTATCTTGGACAGCTTGTAGCCCAGCAGATGATCGACCTCTTCAATGAAGGGTTTGGCTGTGGCAGGGAAGGCTTCGAGCCATGGTGTGAGCATTCCCACTTTCTGGACTCCTTGGCCTGGACGAGGAGTCAGTAACTTGCTTTGCTCGTTGCGATCTTCATTTATACTTGCCTGGGAAGAACAACGCCGTACGCGGTCGAGGACCTTTACTTGACGCTTGCCGTGTTTGCTGCCGTACCGCCGTACATATCGATTGTTGTTTCCTGCAGAAACTCCTGCTACCCGTACACTCTTCGAGGAATGACTTCCTTGTGTTGCTGTGAGGCTTTGGCAAGCCTGTCGCGAGCCGCTTCATGTTGAGAAGCTGCCTGTTGGAATACGTTCAACTGGCAACAGGTCGAATCTATTATTTGTAGTGCTTGCTGTTGTTGGTGCTCCGTAGAGCGAAGCCTTACCATGTTTCACCGAGGTCACACGAGGCTGTATTTACTTTGATCCCCAAGGCCGAGGTACCGGCCGATAGACCGATAGGTAGATCGGCTGGATCTGCTACCCCGGATTTGCACGGTACTTTCGGAAAAATGGCTTGGCATGGGAGATGTAAAACGGGGCTTTGCTCAAAGACGAGAAACTGACATCTACAATTTGCCTGTGGAACTTGGGCACTCTTCATAAAAGACAATTCATAGCAGGAAGGGCGGTGGTATTATAACATTATCGTATTTCCCTGACTTTCCAAAAGACCGCATAGCGCCAGTGCCCACAAAACCAGGGTACTTTTCATAATGCAATGCCGGACACTCCTACGACTCCAGCCAGTCTAGGAAATCTGGCGTAAAGTAGCTGACTACTATGGTCGCTCCTGCCCTGAGTATCCCTTCAGTCGCTTCGAAAGCCATAGCCTTCAGATCAAAAACACCGGCCTTTGCACCAGCATGAATCATGGCATATTCTCCACTGACTTGGTATGCGGCAATGGGCATGTTCTTTCCAATATCCTTTGCATCGCTGATGATATCAAGGTATTGGCTGGCTGGCTTGACCATGATTATATCCGCTCCTTCGCCAATATCTCTCTCAATTGCTCTGCGAGCAAGCCCTCGTCCTCCAGGGGGCAATTGGTAACACTTTCGGTCTCCGAATGAAGGAACTGAGCCTGCGGCATCACGAAATGGGCCATATAAGCAGCCGGAGAATTTGGCTGCGTAGGACATGAGTACCACTCTGTGGGCAATACCCTCCTCTATCAGCTTCAGCTTAATCGCCCGGATTCGACCATCATTCATATCCGAAGGAGCGACTGAGTGCGCTCCAGCGTGAGCGTATGCGATTGCGACATCCGAAATGCGATCAACGGACAACTCGTTATTAAGGCTGCCATCGTCTCGAAGAATGCCACAGTGGCCATGGGAGGTATATTCGCAAAGACAGACGTCTGCGACAATAAATAATTGTGGAAATCGCTGTTTGATGAGGCGGATACCAGCCATAACGGGACCTTTCGGATCATCGGCAGCGGTTCCCAGGGCATCTTTGGCATTTGGCGCCAGAGGCACACCGAAGAGTATGACGGATCGAAGGCCTTTGCGGACCAGAGGTTCGAGGAATGGGACAATTTTATTGATGCCGCGGCGGTTTTGACCCGGGAGAGAAGGGATTGGAGTGTCTTCATTGTCATCATCGGTAATAAAGAGGGGATAGATAAGCATAGACTAGGCGAAGTCAGTTTCCATGTGCCCGAAGAAGCTGGAACAGTGAGCATTGCAGCGGATGTAGCCGGACACCAAATTCAAGCCACTGGCCGGATCTGAAACCAGCTTCAGATATTCCCTGAGTCCTCTTCCAGGCTGGTACAATGAATGCAGCGCTCACCTTTGTCAATTGTCTCTCAGCCTGCCATGATCGAGCCAATGGATGCGAATATCCGCCATGCAATTGACTCGAAATATCACCCGAAATGCTGACGCTCGTAGCGGAGGTGCTGGCATAAGATCGTGCCCGCGATATGTGAGACCTGCTATCGTCGATAGTGCCTATGGAGTCAGCAATGTTACCAGGAGATTTGAGGACACTCGAGACTTACTGGTGGAAGAGACTCCCCGAGCCACTTGCCGCCGCTGTTCACTTGCGTTGCTGGGCGGAGTGTCTCTGAAGGAGAGATCTTGTACGAGGCTGGAAAATGACATGGTGCTGAGTATGTAGGTGGATCAGGACTGGAAGCTTTTCAGTGGTACTTTTTTATATGTGCCCAGACGGTGTTGGTGTTGGGGCCTTGGAGTAGTAGGTTTGATGTTTCTTCTCTGAAGCAAAAGAGTGGCGGCCCCGGCGGGCGCATGTTCAATGGCCGAGGCGTTGTTCTTTTCGACAATGTCAATTTCGGGCCGGCTTACAATCTATGGCTTCTGATTGGCGTATGATTGTTGTAGAGCCAAACCAGAATAATCCGTAGCCATCCAAGTTCGCCTTATCATTTTTCAACCCCGGAGCCATCTAAGGATCTGAGACAATTGATTCTGCGATTTTTCCATTCCTTCCACATTTTATTTGCAGCCAGGTGCAAGTTCTGCTCGCCTGACAAAGACTAGTTTCATACAGGAGAAGTCCGCTAATCCGGATGGAGGATGTCATCAAGCGATCCTAGATTCGACTTCCTTTGAAACAAGACCGCACAGCGCCCCTTTTCGGTACCGCATTTCTCTGCAATTCTCAAGCAAAATAGTAAGACGGAGTTCTTCGGATCACGAGACGGCAGAAACGCGTCTCCCAGCCAGATTTTCCTCTGGATGGGGGCTCCCTATCCCAATGTTCGCTATTCTGGATCTTCCAATACGCAGAGGATTTATGTATAGTGCCTAGCTAAGCTGATTATGATGCAGATGATAATATGGCTCCGAGCCTTTTTGTTTATCCGTTCCTGTTCTCCGTTCCTGTTCTCAACTCACAGTTTTGGATATAAATTTGACTAGTATTAGGATGCTTCACAATGCAGTGACACTGGCGCAGTGTCATTTGGATGTTCGGACAATCAGATGGCTTGCTATCAGTGATTTGATAGCCACTCAGAATCTGCCTCTTGGATGAAGCCCATAAAATATAGGACTTGTCTTTGGCAAGTGCCCAGGTTATCACCGACACTCTTCAACTGGCTGTGTCAACGTTCACTCCTCCACGTCAACAAGATTCTTAAAAATCTTCAGGACATACCTCCGGTTATATCACTATACCTTCTTCCCGCAGGAGCTAAATAGGATGCTCTCCAGGGCATTATCAGGTTCGGAAACAAGAGTACGTTCTTGAAACTGTACAATGGGATCTGTAATATCATTGTCAAGGAAGGAGACAACCAAAATGTGCTGGCTTAACGATATAGGTTCTGATTCTCCTTGTCTTTGGTCTGATCTTCAGACCCACCGGCCAGACTTGAGAAAGTGCCTAGAACCTCGCAAGCACATTGCAGATGCCACTACCATCTGGGATTGCCCAATATGGGTATCAATTCCTTTTGAAATTGTTGACCCGCTCGAAAGGTTTCTTCTAGTCAAACAATCAATTTCAAGGACGCGCAGGTAGTGGGCAATGTTGTGCTGTGCTGAGAAGGATGAATGAATTCTTGGCGAGTAATCGCTTTTCTAAAGCGGACAGACTTGTGCATCTCTCGTCCCTTCCTCATTCACCCTTGCACTGGGCTCACCGCGATATTTCCCGTCGCCGCACCTGGTAAAATTCTCAAAATTCTTTCTCTCCATGCAACGTCATCACCTCTTCACCTCTTCACCTTTTCACATTTCCACCTTTTCACCTGTCACCTCCTCTGTTGAAAACCTCTGTATTTCCTTCCTTTTGGTTTCTACCGTGGGTCACCCTTCTATCCTCGTGATTTCGTGCTCCTATTTTGTCTTCTCTTGCGAATCCAGCGAATCTCTCGTGCGAATGCTCGTGTTGTGAGGGTCTGCATGTCTATACCATGGCGACCTATGGGAAAAAGAAACGCTCTCTCTTCCCATCTTTCTCCGCACTCCGGGACTCCGATGCTGAGTTCAAGCCAAAGAAGGGGAAGGAAAATACACAGAAAAGAGGTGAGTTCTTGAGGCAAATTTTCGTCTGGGGTACAGGTAGCTTGAGCAGGCTACAAATTCTGCTTGCCCTCTTTTTACCTCTTCCCCTTCTGGCGATTGCATGTCAAATCTAATATATATGCCCCCAGGCTCTATAGCTTTTACCGCGCCGCCCATCTTTTATGACAGCAATTACAAGGAAGAGTCTCCATCAAACCCCCACGACGATAGCATCGACGAGATGGCGAGTATGTTACTTGAAGACACCGAATTCGATCAGCTGAAACCCGAAGCTGGTAAACGAGCATCTTACAGCGCGGCTTCAAGGACACTTCCAGGACCACCACGTATGGGATTACAAGATAGCAAAACCCTGCCACAGTTGCCATCAATGATCTTCAATGGAGACGACGCTTGGGCGCTAAGAATGTCTTCAGTGGTCACTGCTGTTGGAAGCTCAAACCAGATGGACTTCGGTGCTGGTGGACCCTCCAATAAGTCGGATCAGAACGCAGGCCATACCAGAAAGACTTCCACTCCTGCAATTCCCCGAAAGTCATCGAAGCGAAGGTCTGCACGTCCCAGAAGCGCACTGTTCCAAGCTCCACCTGAAGTCAATGAACGTCGGAGCCAGGTGTCTCGACACACTTTGAAGAGTAGCATATCGCCTCCGCAACCTCAGGATATACCTCTTCCTATAAAGACGACGGCTTTTGACGCAGTTGATGTTAACAGCAAGATTGAGGCCATGATAGCCGCTACAAAAGCCTTAAAGCCTGGCTGTAATGATTCTGTACCTCAGGGGGTGTTGGTACCAGTCAAAAAGCGACGATTTGAGAGCAAGGTGTTGACCAAGATGAAGACTGCCCTCAACGGTAGGTTCCAGGTACGAAATGGTAGGAAGCGGGACTCGATGCTGAACGAGAGGCTTCTCGACACGTCGCTCAATGAGGCCCTTGATTTTGAGGACGAGAGCTCTGCTTCAGCTGTTGCGTTGACCACCATGGAGCTACGCATGAATGAAGGTGAGTTGCGCTTTGCCCTCCTTCTAACTCGACTGTCCTAATGGTTATATAGGCGATAACTTCAAGAATCCCAAGATCTACACTCTCACCGGCCATGGCAATGTTCGTCGCAAGCCACTGGCAGACGATGGGAAGTCTTTGAGAAGCCGAAAGTCGACTGAACGTGCCGAGGATCCATTTGCCGAGCGACCTTCAAGTAAGTATGCCACAGACAAACTTGGTGCTATTCCAGAGCACGTTCTGTGAGAAACTTGTAGTTCTGGGTATCATCTCCGTTTTGTTTGCCAAAGACGTTGCATGTTTACTTATGCCTTTTTTAGGTGGGATCACACGCACCCCTACGAGCTTTGAGAATCGGCTGAATGACTCCCCCCAAGGCAGCGAATTTGTCCCAGATCTCCCAAGTCTTTGCCACACTCCTAATAACAAGGCCCGCGAGAAGAGAGTTCGAACCTCTCTGTATGGGAGGGATCACCAGGACTTTGATGCCATGCTTTCTTCAAGCCCCTTCGGCCAATCAACACCTCGTATCCGACTTGAGCCCACATTCGACGCAGATGGGAAGAGATCCTTGAGCTTCGTCCCAGCTGAGAGTCGCTCGTTGTTTGACCCAGAAAATTCGAGTATGGACATCGATACCAGTGATCATCTCAGAAGGTCCTCCTCGTCACGAGAGCCTATGAAACGCAGTTACTCCAATACCAGACCCAGAGAATATCGTGCTAGTTGGCAAAGCTCAAAGAGAATGAAAAAACATCCCTCTCCAAGCAAAGCTGACCTCGAGGAGCTTGAGAAAGACTTGCAGAACTTCTTGCCCTGCAGCTCACCTGGAGATCAAACCCTCGAAGAAGACAAGTTCCCTATGGATAGAACCTTGACACCAGCTTCTGCACTCTCTCCCACAGATGCCAATAAGAAACTTCTAGGCAGCAGGCGTCGTCAGGCTCTAAATGTTGAACCGATGAAAACCATAGAATCAATGCCGAACCTCCCTAGCAGACCAAAGTATCAACCACCAAGTCTCCAACCAAGAAAGAAGACTGTGGAAGGCCTAAGCCGACAATTCATGAGCTGCAATAACATGGCAGATGATCGCAGCATCATGGATATCGATGAGTTGCAATGGGATAATGCGGCTTACAATATCGGGCTCAAGAGGGTCTAAGTTTTGGCGATAATGTTACTCTGCGTTACCTCCAGATCTCTTACTTGCCTGGCATCGAGACTTTCGCTTACGATTTCCAAATCAGCATTTCATTTTTGGCATTTGCCGGACGTTGCAGGAGTACCAGGTTCTTTGCGCTTTTTTATTATGATTTGGAGTGCCGTTGCTTGAGGAGCACGGCTGTAAAATATATGGTGGAGAGCCAGTGGGGAGAAGTGATACCAGAAGACCTCCTGTGCTTTCTTTTCTCCTTGATGACGATCAGCTCGTTGGGTACCATTACAAGTCACGAGGTGCCCGGGCTATTGTCTAGGGGTGGAGACAGCTCAAGGGAGCGCCATCTTTTTTCTTCTTCTCATTTGATGGACGACCGCTGGCTAATTCGTTGCTCGCCATACCGCGTTGTCGCATCGGGAAGTTCAGATTTTCATAAGATGGCTTAGCATTCAGCTTCAATGTCAATAGACGTCTAGCTTTTTTTGCAGAAATCACAATGCAATTTTTCCCCCTCCAAAACTAGTCCTGACAGTCAGTAATATGGTCAGCGCACGACCGTCGTATGGCTTCTCTCCTCATCTAATGCTTCAACCTCTGAATTTCTAGGCACCATATCCGGACATCGTCATACCGAAGAGTATGTAGAGCCATCAGTATTCCTGAAAAGTTGTTCCATGCTTCTCCAGAGAGGACATGCACCAAAGAAAGGCGCGCGCGCCTTGGCTCATTGGGTTTCTTCTCGACCTGGCCTCGTGCCTCTCTTGCTCCCCTTCCCTCTGACTTTTATTTTTGCAAGGGGGGAAAGGGGAAGGTGTCTCGCTTAATTATGGGGTCTCGCCTTGGTATATTAGGGGTTTCTTCTTCTTCTTCTCCTCCTTCTTCTTCTTCTTCTACCCTTCTTCTACTCTTCTTCTACTCTTCTTCTTGTTCACTCATCATGGAAAGGCTCGGGATTTCAAACAGTTGTATGGATATAGCCAAAAACCTGAAATGCGCTTGTTCGCTTGCAGTTCGCTGATGCCAGCGCCAATATAATCACTACAGTAACAAGGGTATCTATCTCGCCGTCATGAAAGCTCGTCGTTTCTCGATTCCATTCCCATACATTCCAGTCCAGCCCAGCCCAGTCCAGTCCAACCGTCTAGTAGGCGCGATGCGAACCACGGCCATCGGTGCCGTTCATGCGTCTCGTTCCAGCAGCCTGTTGGGTTCACCATCAGCATACATACATACATACACGTATATAAATATGAGTTTCCAAATCACCGAGTGGTCATATTTAGGGAACATACCTTGAGGCCGGGTTTTCTCGTCAACGAGCCCTTGATCTTCATGATCGCCCCCGAAATCTTGTCCCCGAGCGTAACACGGCGTTTCTGGCGCACTACGGTCGTCGTTGTGTGCGTGTGATGCCCTGCGGTTCGGTGCGAAGTTCGCACCGGGCGGGCGTTGACGGTCTCGACGGTTGTGGTGGTCTTGGTGGTGCGCGTCTTGGCGTTGCGACCTCGGAGCCGTGTCATCAAGGTAGGCTTTGTGGTACGGGTCACGACCTGTTGTTTGTTGCGACGCATGATGGTTGTTGTTGGGGGGTGGTGGTGATAGAGAAGGGAAAGTTGGTGTAAGCGTGGATAGTGGTGCTGTGAAGGTCGAAGTTGAGGTTCTGTTTGATAGTGAGGTTTTGGTTTAGGATGTGAAGGAGGATAGTGTGAGAGGGAGGTGTATCTTGGTGTTGTCTTGTGGTTGTGGATGTGATCGTGTGTTTGGTTGAAGGTGTGGATGGAAAGGGAGATTTGAGGTGAGCATGGCAGTAATTATAGAGAACTAAGAAAGGAGAAGGGGAAGAAGAGGTTGGGTTATTGGTATGACGGTAGAGGAGCATCTTGTTTGGACAAGAACGGAACCCAAATCTCAGGGTGAGCTCTTCCCTTCCTTATCCAGATTTCTGGTCGAGCTTCTTGCATCCAACCAACACGTGCCAAGTTAAAACAAGTAATTGAGAAAATGCATGGCCAATGAGCTAAGGATGGCTCAGGGTCTATTAATTGGTGCTCTTTGGGATGCTTTCCCGAAGAGTCACAGGGTCTGAAGTCAATTTGTGGCAGAGAAAAGTTGGTCTCGCTTAAGTATTGAAGGGGCTCAATACGTCATCGACACTTTCGAGATAGCTCTGGATTCTGCAACTCTGAAGCAGGTATTGAGGGCTGGTAAGGAAGCAGTAGGAGAAACTTAGCCCGAGGAGTTGGAGGGTTAGGTAAAAAGATATAGTTCGACCATAACATGTCAACATAGAGAAACGTGATATTTGTAGATTCTAAATTCAACTTGAGAGGTACGCAGGGATCGAAGCAGAATATACTTGAGAAGGAAGTACTCACATCTGATCATCTGATTTGCTATTATCGTGTTTCGGCACTTTGGGAAGTATTCCATTACAATGCATGCATCGGATGAGTTTTGATAAAAGCTCCCGCATTTCGAGACGCCGTATTGCAGGACTTGCTTATAGGTTTGAAAGCTCAACTCGCAATGACCAAGAAAACCACGGGGCCGCAAAATATTGGCAGAAGAACAATACAGAGATATTCCATACATACCGTTACTCACCGAATGCCCATTACCAGGCAAAATGGCGGCTGACGGTGGGGTGAGAATGAGGGGCACGAACTCCCCTCCCCGCCCATGGATTCTCACAACGAGAGGACAACCAACGTAAAAGAAACATGACATGAACGAGCAGATCGCGAAACCGCAATAGATCATTAAAGATTCCTTCATGTTGTACCGAGAAGGTTTGAGGCTGTCCAAGTAAAACGAATTCCTACTTTGAAGCCATTTCTGAGCAGACAGACATTTACCGGGACATAGACGAGGCACGCTAGCGGCTGGATACCCAATGACGTGGAGCACTTAAGGAAGGAACGTTACGTCGTTGATTAGTAACCTGGCACCTTGAAGCGGTACCTAACTTGGTTGAGGATCCTGTTTCCCATTCAACGACAACAAAACGAACAATTGATCGCTTTATTAAGAGTCAATTCACAAAGGCTACACTCTTCTTACTTAGAATATCGAAGCAAGAAAATCACAATGGCAGGATCGGATTCTCAATTCGAGCAGGGTGAGTCCTCCTCTCCACTTTATGATTTGCACCAGCCCGGAAATCGAGTTCGAGTTCCCTCAGCATATGCTGGAGATGATGGGACTTCTGTGCTTTCCACATTGTTCATACGGGAAAACACCTCATCTATCAACAATATGCTGACCCATCACAATAGGACACACCGTCCCCATCTCCCACCAATCTGCCCCAGGAAAACAACACGAAATGGCCGGCCAGTCCCCCGTCAATGACCAGCTGCCCACCTCCTCTGGCGGCTACCAGCCCTACCGCGCAGCCTCCAAGCTCGCTGGCAAGAAAGCCCTGATTACCGGCGGCGACTCGGGCATCGGGCGTGCTGTGGCCATCCTGTACGCTATGGAGGGCGCAGAGAGCACCATTGTGTATACACCAGAGGAGGAGAAGGATGCGCAGGATACGAAGAAGCTAGTTAGTGAGAAGGGAGGAAAGATCCACCTGATACAGGCGGATCTGCGGGAGGCAAGCAAGTGTAAGAGTGTGGTTGAGGAGGCGGTCAAGAACATGGGGGGCGTCAACGTGCTGGTGCTTAATCACGGATACCAAATGATGAAGGAGACAATTGGCGAGCTGAGCGAGTAAGTTTCTGTTTCCTATCATCCATCTTCGTCGAGCGGAGGAGACGTATGCGGAGAAGGACGACATGGTGCTGACTCGGGACATTCAGAGAGCAATGGCTCAAAACCTTCGACACGAACATCCATCCCTTCTTCTACCTCTCCAAGTACGCCCTTCCGCACATGTCTCGCGGCGACACAATCATCACCTGCGCCTCCGTGAACCCGTACATCGGCCGCCCGGACCTCCTCGACTACACCTCCACCAAAGGCGCCATCGTAGCCTTCACCCGGGCCCTTTCCAACCAGCAGCTCTCCAACGGCATCCGCGTCAACGCAGTCTGCCCCGGCCCCATCTGGACCCCTCTCATCCCGGCGACCATGAACGAAAAGGCGCAGAAGGAATTTACGAGTCCGATGGGTCGGCCCGGACAGCCAAGCGAGGTTGCGACGTGCTTTGTGTTCTTGGCGAGCGCGGATAGCAGTTTTATTTCCGGGCAGAGCCTGCACCCTAATGGTGGTGTTATCGTTGGATCGTAGAGATGGGGAGAGGAGGAGGTAGGAGAGTTTGAAAAGTATTATATAGCGGAAAAGGCGCTGAAAGGTGGCTAAGCGAAAATTTTATTAGCTCAATCAATCGAGAATTTGCATTCACTTCCTTACTCGCTTCCAGTCCCGTGGGTGCGCAAGTGATACATGGCAAACTCTTGCATCATAGCATTATGTACAATCCACGCTGGCTCTACGTGCTCTACAGGATTAATTCGTCGTGGCTTGCTTGCTTGCCTAGCTACCCTCCCTCACTCTAACCCGCCCCTCCGATCAAGACGCCGCGAAAGGGGAAAAAATCATGACCAACCGGGTCTCGCTATGCGACTCCAGAACACCAACCCGTCATGCGTAAGGAGCAGAGCCCCACCAGTCTAAGCCCAAAAGAAACATTCTAGGTGCAGCCAGCATCACTTGCAAGCGATCCCGGGTATCAACATGAGCCTCTGCTCGCTTCTGCAAATCCGTAGTCCGAGATCGACCAGATCATCCAGTCTATATCCATCTCTGTTCCACCGAGCAGTAGAAGCCCGATTTGTGATGGTATTTTTCTCATCATGAGCGGATGTTGCTCAGGACCAAGAACAGGAGCATGAGGTTCAGCGCGAACAATCCCATGAACGCGACCCAGACACACGTTATGTGCAGCCAGCCCAACTTCTCCTGCCTGCACACAGCGGCCATTATTCCACCCAGAGCAAAGCACAAACTTGCCACACACCCAGCAACAGCTCCCGCATCGACTTCGACCATCAACTTGCGCCTGCCTGTCGAGAACAAAATGCTCGTGATGAAAATCAGAATCAGCGATCCAGCATACGAGCCAAGCATTATACGGAATAGCCACGTCTCCCTGCTCCGCGAGAACATCTGGTCTTTGATGCTGGGGAATGTGGCGTAGTGCGTGGCGTATCCGGCTGGAAACTCGTTAGAAGAAGCGTAGGCGTCGTCTTCGGTGTCTACCGGGCTATTCTGGTCGTTGAAGCCGTGGAAATAGCTGTCTCGAGATCGAAGCAGTGGGCGGGTCTCGGCGCTGGGCGATGTGCCGGGGCTGAACCATGACTTGACGCTTTTCATCGGTTGCTGTATCTTCTCGAGCAGTAACTCCACCGCCTTTGCGCCAGGGAACGAGTCCGCATCTGGGTTCACGTAGATGGTGAAGGGCTCATCTTCTGCTTCGCTTCCATTGTCGTACTCGTTCCAGTATGCTTGTGGTGGTGGCTGGACCGAGATCTGGGTACTCGATCTTCGGGAAGGCCGTCTCGAGGAACTGGGACTTGTGGTTCCGCTTATGGGGGGAGGAGTAGAGGAGCGGATGCTCGCGGAGAGTAATCTGTATCGGGACCGCAACTCGTCGAAGTCGAATTTGGTAAAACTATCAGGCCTATTGAGTACCTCGAAGTCGAAGCGCTCTCCAAGCGTTGCCGAACCCGTCCATTTCTATACGATTGTACGTTTAGCGGCTGTCCGAAATGCTTGCGCCAACCTGTGCTTACCTTGTACTTCTTCAAGATCTTTCGGAATGCCTCCCTCTGCGCCTTTTGAAAACGTTCAAGAGAAGTGATTTCTGCGCCACACCTATGCATATATGTCAAAAATCTATTTACAGATGAGATTCCAGATGCGGTCCTACCTCTCAATCCGATCATTGTATATAATGTATTTCCGGTGTAGTGCTTCGGGAATTGGCCCACCTTTCAGCCGAGTCGTTCGCTCAAGCAATTTGACAACCTGCTTTTGGAGATCATCTGTCTGGGTGTCAGCAGCATGATCTCAGAATCCCCTCCATTACTCACTTAACCAGTGGGTGTACTCATCCGCCTTGTTCTTTACAAACAAATCCACCCGGTTGTGCTGGTTCTTGAGCTCATCGAAGAAAGACTTCTCAAACTTCTCCAATCTCGGGTCGGCTTGGCCTGGAATCGCGATTGCCTGACCTTGATTTCGTGTAGTATTGAGTTTGATGAGGTTCTTCAATTCGATATAATCAACATTAACTGCGAGAAGTTGTCAGCAATCGATCAGCGCTCTGGTGTGATGGGGCTGGAATTCCCCAGGCCGAAGCCGAGGTCGAGGTGACGACTCACATGGCGCCCATTGTGGCACGGATTCCTTGTGAAATCTCTCGCTGTACTTCATCCCTTCTTTGAAATTTGCAGATGAGATCTGCAGATGCTTTTCGGGACGAGTCGGTGCGGTGCTGGAAGAGGCACTTCGGGATCCGGCGTCCCTTTGTACTGAGCGAGCACGCGTGGACTGGTGCGTCCTGAATTGTCGTGGGCTGTGGCAGACACTCGCGATTATGACATGGAAAGGCCAAGAAGACGCAGATGGGCGGAGTCAACACCCAACAGGGGATTTGAGACCTGTTAGCAATGCGCCAAGGTTCCGTGGCTCCGTGGAGGGGTTAAAAGTCAAATCGTTGGATTGGCAGCAGGGCGGGCACAAGCCAGCGGCAGCGAGTCGGTGCGGTTAATGTTGTTGATACAGCAAGGTTTGGGATTTTGGCTTTTGGCTTTTGGCTTTTGGAGAGATCAAGAGGAGAGAGAGGGAGCGAAAGGAAGCAGCAGCAGCATCCGCAGCAGCAGCGTCTCGGTCTTCTTAGTCGTCTTACTCGCTGCACTCGACTGGTGTTTCAAAGCTGGACTGGATATCTCGAGTTCTCGCTTGCTCCCCTCAATGGTTAATGCGATCCGGGGGGCCTTGGGACGGGCGATGCGATGACGGTTTCAATTGCAGGCCCAACCAAGCGGTGCCGTGTCAAAGGAGTACTGAGGACAAGACAGGAAGACAGAAATGGATGCGTGCCGGCCGTTGGACCGTGAGTGACGCTCCTGGGAAAAAGGAAAAATTCTGTGCTCTTCGAATTCTTCTTCTCGATGCAGCCACCCAGGGCTAGCCAGAGCTGGCTGTGGATGTGGCTGTGGCTGTGGCTGTGGCTGTGGCTGGAGAGTGGCGGGAGGGTGGCGAGAGAGTGGCGAGTGGAGAAGTACGGTAAGTGGGAGAGGTTGAGGGTCAGGAGTGAGTGGGTTGAGAGTGTTCTGGATGCAAACAAACTGTTGTACCAATAGCAAGTACGAGCCGATCGAGGATGAGGGTAGAGATATGTGTGATAAGTAGGACGTAGGGAGACGAGGTGGTGAGAAGCCGAGAGACGAGGAAAAGAATGACGATACTCTACTAGTAGTACCGGTACTGCCCACGACTACTACTACGACTACGACTACCTAGGTACTTATCACTGTCCCTCGTCCCTCGTCCCTCGTCCCTCTGCTACTACTGTACTAGCTCCTTCCTCACCGCAGCCAACGTCTCCGAGTCTGCGCTTCTCTTTCCGCCGTGCAGAGTACCGGTAGTACATAGCACCTGGTCTTCAAGGATAGGTACCGGTACCGGTACCTATACCTATACCTATACCAATTCCTGTACTGTAGGCATGCTAACCGACTTCCTTGTGACTCTGGGCTCGGATAAAAGTCTAAGATGGTGTTGGTCCCAAAAAGGTTAAAGGTTACGGGCGCGAGACTTGCATTCGGATGATACAGAGTATAATGTACGGTACCGGTACATACTTCTACTAGTAGTACCGGTAGCACGACAGAGAGCTACTGAACGAACTTGTCCCTTACTCGAGCCTCGTTCGACGATTCAGGGAATTCGTCACGCGAGCGAGCATTTGGATCGGTACCGTACAAAGTACAGTTCCGTACAAGACACCGTCCGTACAGCCATGCAGGCGACTCGCATTTACGGAGTGTGCAGGTGTGGTCGAAGAGCAGCCAATTGTGATCAGTCGCTTTATAATTGGTACCACCGCAGAGATACCTATCATTCGGCTCTACCCGTAAGAATATACCTAAGCGCTGAGGCCATACCCGATGCATATCGGGCGATATATAAAAGTAAAAAGTATGGCGCTTGATACGAGAGAAAATACAAAGATAAGAGAAAAGAGGGGGAGATGCCAACACTGCGAGGTCGGTAGGGAGTAGTCCAGATGCATAGATAAATACTTATAGGTTAGTTGTATGCGATGGAAACCCAAAAAGAAGATCGTGACATCCATTCTACTCCAAGTAGTCTGTCTGTCTTTCTTAGATATTGACACCGAGACGCAAACATGTAAGAGTACGAAATATGCATTGGATAGAAAAGAGACAGAGAAGTAAATGGTACAGAGCGGCGGAAGACGCTGAGACAGGCAGGTGGCGGGTAACCGAATCCGTACTTTCTTTTGATATCGGCCTAGAAAATGTGCCCAAACAGAAAAAGGTGTTGGTTTTGACCCGGTTAAAGAACTACCTGAAGACACGGAGATATCGTCCCAAGACACGCTGAGGTGAAATGAAATAAAGAAAATGGCACGTGCTGATAACAGCCGCGATTTCCGATAACCATATGCACGGACCATGTCTGGCTTCAATTTTTTCTTTCACTACCGAATTTACTGCTTTTCAAACACCATCTTGGCAAGCAATGGTCAACAGCAGCAGCACCTCCTCCTCCATGACCTCGACGTCGCATACGCTGACCACCTTCCCGACATCGAACGAAATCCCGTTCTCCACCAGGAACCCCACTATCATGGCGGCGCCAATGGCCAGCCTCCTCAGGGCCCTCGAGCCCGCGAACAGACATACATTCATCGCACCCTCGTCCTCGCTACCAGAGGCCAGCTTGGGGGTCGTCAAGGAGACGCTAGACTCTTTTGCTGGAACCTTGGGCGATGAGCAGGCGCAACGACTGAAAGAGCAGAGGAAGAAGAGGAAGAGGGGGGAGGCGGGTATGGACGACGGGGAAGTGCTGAAGATTCGGAAGATCTACACCGAGGGCTTCGAGGTGGAGCAGGTATGGGAGCAAGCTAGGAGGGTGATTGATGCTTTGAGAGGGGATGCCGAGAGGGTGTTGGAAGACTTGGGGGAGCTAGAGGAGAGTGATCAGGGAGCCGGCAATGCGGACGAGGGAGTCGATTTGTTGAAGTTTGATGAGGATGGGTTTGAAATGGGGTCGGATGATGAGAGTATAGACGACGGTGAAGGACATGAGGAAGTAGGTTCCGAAGTCGAGGATTTGGACGCAGGGGATTTTGGAGGCGACGATGAGGAGGCTTCTGAGGGTCTGGAGGCAGAAGAAGGCTTTGAAGACGAGGAAGAAGATTCAGAGGGGGGGGGTGTCCCTGCGGGCCTTTACGTCGAGGATCCACACAAGCTGAATGATGGCTTTTTCTCCATCGACGAATTTAACAAACAAACCGAGTTTCTGGAACAACAAGACGCAGCAGCCGATCCGTATACTGGAGAAGCAAGCGACGAAGAAGAAATTGACTGGGATGCTGACCCATCAGCATTGGCTCCTAAGCCTACCTCAAGCTCCAAAAGAGCTGCAGCTATGGACATCGAAGACGAGGAGGAAGAGGAAAGCGGAGAGGAGGAGAACGATGGTCCAACATTCGGAAACATGGATCTGAATGCCCCAGAAGGCGACAGCGATGACGGAGAAGAAGATGACGAGGACGACATGGACCAAGATCCTATCGGCGACAACACCAACAACGTCCTTTACAAGGACTTCTTTGAGCCCCCCCCTCGCAAAGTCGGCAAAGCAGTAATGCAAGCCAACTATCTGGAACGTCAAGTCCGCAAAGCCCAAGCGCCAGGCCCGGTAGATGACGAGGCTGGCCTTCAGCGAGCCATGGCAGATGTCCGCCGCGACCTCTTTGAAGAGTCGGAAAATGAGATGTCTGAAGACGCACTTTCGGACGTCGATGCCGCGGATCCTAAATCGAGGAGATCTGCTCACGAGCGCAGACAGGCCAAACTTGCGGATGAGATCCGCCGTCTGGAAGCTGCGTCTGTCGCTAAACGCGAATGGACACTCGCAGGAGAGGCCAGAGCCGCAGACCGCCCGCTCAACTCCTTGCTAGATGAAGACCTCGAATTCGAGCGTACGGGCAAACCAGTCCTGGAAGTCACAGCCGAAGTAAGCGAGAGCATCGAAGAGCTCATCAAGCGCCGCATCCTGGCTCAGGAATTCGACGAGGTGATCCGCCGCCGCCCCGAAACCGAGATCACAACCGCACGGCGAGGGCTCTTCGAGCTTGATGACTCGAAACCGCAGCAGAGTCTCGCGCAGCTGTACGAGGAAGAGCACGTCAAGGAGCGCAACCCCGACACGTACGTCAGCAAATCCGAGGAGAAGATCCGGCAAGAGGAGAACGAGATTGAAGGGCTGTGGAAGGACGTCAGCGCCAAGCTGGATGCCCTCAGCAGCTGGCACTACAAGCCTAAACCCGCGGCTCCAAGTCTGACAGTCGTGTCGGACGTCGCTGCCATCTCCATGGAAGATGCGCAGCCGACGACTGCCATGGGGATCTCGGCCGGCCAGAGCATGCTAGCGCCGCAGGAGATCTACAAGGCGGGTAAGGATAAGAAGACGATCGGCGAGGGCGAGGTGGTGCCGAAGACGGGGGCGCCGGTCGCGAGGCAGGAGATGACGAGGGAGGAGAAGCTGCGCAGGAGGAGGAGGGAGAAGGAGAGGATCAAGAAGAGGGGCGGGGAGGAGCTTGGGCAGAGGAAGGAGAGCAGGAAGAGTGTGCAGAAGAGGGAGACGTTGGCGTCGCTCAAGAAGGGCGGGGTCAAGGTCATTGGCAAGAAGGGCGAGGTGAGGGACGTGGATGGGAATAAGGTGCAGGATGCTGCTGCTCTCAACGGGGCCGGTGGATTCAAGCTGTAGATAGATAGATGTCTTTTCGTGGAGTGGTGAGAATGAATTGTTCGGATTCGGATTCGATTCGATTCGGATACCAGGCTTTCGTATCGTTTGAAGTGAGTGTCACTTGAAATGCCGGTCTCTGCTTATGATATATTATATATATATACCTATATATATAGTTGTGAGGTATTTAGTCGCCCTACGCTACGACCACACAAGTCTTTTCCAAACATGATCTTTGCTGATATTGATAAAACGAACAACCCTCCCCCTTTCAACTTCTCGGCTTTTTCCCGTGGGTGGAAAGAGCGTATGCCTGCCTGCCTCTAGACCACCTGCGTGCTCGCTATCTCGGAAGTATGTAGATGGCAGCAGTAGACATCGAGGTATAGCCAATACTCGCACGAATATCTGCTAAGATCCAATCCAACCCAACCCGATAGGATCCAACCCAACCCAATCCAATCCAATCCAATCCATTCCATTCCATCCCAAATGGAAAAGGGAGGCGCCGTCAACAGGTAGTAGTAGTAGTATTGTATTAAATCGCACGAATCCAACGACCCATAAGCCTTCTTCATATCGGTCATTCGTGCACACGTAGATACACATCAGAAAACAGACACAGACACACACACACACACCCTACACTCCTTCCTCAGAGGCGTAAAAATATCAATCTGAAAAAGGATAAAGAAAAGGAAAAAAAAAAAAAAAAAAAAAAAAAAGGTAATCCAATCGCCGACGCCTGCAACAACGCCTTTCCTTCCTTGTGAACCCCCGTCTCGAGACCATGTACCAGCATTAAGACGGCTGGGTGAGAGAGAAAGAGGGAAAATGATGCGAGTGAAAGCCCCGAAACCCTTCCCGGTCTCAATAATAATAATAACAGACAGAGATCTTACCCATACTCGTTTTCGCAGGACGTAGCCAGAAAAAAAAACAATAACATAACCCCAGACCCGTATAAATCATGCCCATTTTCCCATCCCGATCTTTGTACCGGCCGACCGACCCATGTCTTCACTGCACTGGTCACATATCCAACTTCCCTGATTCGCTCGCATCTCACTTCTTCAGGACCGCGTCGTACAAGGTAATCAAGCCCGTGATACCTGTTCCGACAAGAACGCCTTTCCATCCACCGTAGACGGCGGAGTTGATTCGAGCTACAGACTCCAGGTCGACCAAACCACCAAAGGTAACATCCTGTCCGAAGATCACGAATACTAATAATGCTTTGGCGATACTGAAGGTCAACGGGTCGAAGGTATAGTTGAACTGAGGCTCGTTGTGACGAGATTTTGATGGCCTAGCCGTCATGTTGAAGAAATACGCCGCGATGAGCGGAATGATGAGGGTGGTAATAGTCCACAACAACGCGGGATTCCAGAACGAACTTGTCAAGAGCAAGAATAAATCTGGAATCTTGATGTCGTGAGGGGAGGAAGTAAGATGGTTGATGGCTGGGATTGTAAACGCGTATCTATCCACCAGCAGCTCGGGTCGCAAGTTGTAGGCCTCAAACAAGACAACGGCTGCTTGAATGGCCTGGACCGTTGAGAGATTCTCGCGCGTCGCGTGTGCATATTCGATGACCCCCGAGTCCTCATAATAATCGGAGATCTTGCTGCGAATAACTTGGGTTTGGCGATCGATCTGGTTCGCGATGACGCTTGGTGAGGGCGGTAGAGGCAGGTTGGAGGCGAGCGCGAGCTCAGACAATCGAGAGCCACGCGCCGGAGTACGGGTCAAGGCGGATTTCGCGCGCGTAGTAGCTGGTTCGACCTCGGAATCTTCACTGGGAATTGTCAACCAATAATGCTGCTAACGCGCATTCCAAAGCGCGTTACTCACGTCGCGACGAGCTCCTCAGCAGCCCTGGTCACTCTGCGCTTCACTGATTTGACCGCAGCGCCAAAGTCAGACATCGCGGACGAGACCTCTTTCTTGACGGGAGAGCTTCCATTCTTGCTCTTGTAGAATTGCGCAAATCGCGTGTCGTCGGAGAATCTTTCCATATTCTCAACTAGATATCTATGGAGCGCGATTTCGAGTTCCGCTTTCTTCATTCCATCATACCTATGAAATGTCAGAATATCTGCAGGCAGATTGGTGGAATGCGGAAGTCGCGTACTCATTGAAGCCTACTTCGTCGGACAGCTCAATAAGGTCCCCTTTGCGCATCTGTCGCAGCCAGCTTGATACTCCAGACATTTTAAATAACGCGACTCTGCAAAAAGTATTTACGCGATCGTGATGGATATAGTAAGGGAAGGGTTAGGAAAATTTGCTAACACGACGATGTTGGCTCCGAGGGTTGGAGAGGGAGGTTCGCGCTTTGGTCGGGTGGGGAGGGACTGGGGTAAACAACCAGAAGAAGGCGCTACCTTAACCAAGCTCTCCACGTGATATACATATCTCTCAGGTGGCAGCGAATGAAGACATGGAAGGCATCAACCATGACAAGTGTTTGAGTCCTTAAGCTGGCTGAACAAGATGATGTCGTTCTCAGTCACTATCAGCAAAGATGGCGAACCTAGTCTTTTCTATACCACTATACAATTCTGACGTGGTACTTGATAACATTTAATCGACGATATTTATAAATCTCTCGTCGCCCTTCTTAACAAGACGGACAGGAATGTAGGCCGGATCCTCATGCAGCTTTAGCGTAATGAGCGAAGTTGACCTCCTGATAGTTTGTCTCGCCTTCTCTTGTGCTTTCTTATAGACTGCTTTCTTTTCTTCGGGTGTCATCTTTGCCACTTCCTCGTCAGTTGCCCACTCATCCACAGCCAGCTCGATTGAATACTTCTGGAAAATAACAGATAGGACGCTGAGAACCTTCACCTGTGCGAGCCTTCTCCCCAAGCAAGATCGAGGGCCATCTGAAAAGGGTAAATAAGCACCACGAGCAGGACGAAAAAGTGACGCAGATGTATCCGAGCCTGTGAAACCTCCAAATTCGTCGTCCCCTTCTGCCTCCAGGCCGCTATCCACATGCTGCTTCCCATCCGCTGTAGTCTTCACTAGCCATCTCTCAGGCCTGAAGTCATACAGATCATTCGAACGATCTGAAATCTGAGATGGCTGTGTTGGCCAGTATTTTGGATTTCTGTGAACAGCGACAGTATTGAGTGCGATACGCGCTCCAGCAGGAAGCAAAATTTTCTTGCCATCCAGAACGATTACTTGATCCTGAGCTTTCGAGACCTGTTTCGGGATGGCAATAACTGGCGGCATAAGACGTAGTTGCTCATTCATAACGGCACCGACGACTCCTCCAAGTAGAGCATTGATATTCGACTCGTAGTCCCATGCCTCAGGCGGCTCGTCTCCAAAAATCGATTGCACCTCCTTGTGCAAGAGACGTTGTGCTCTGGGATTAATAGCCAACTCCATTAGCGAGAAATGAATTGAATTCGCTGTCGTCTCATGGCCCGCCACGATCATCACAAATGCGTTCCCCAGAATATCTGAATCAGATAGAATTGGTTTGTCGACTTCCCCCTTCTCCGTACTCCCTGGTGATAGCCTCCTGGTTTTCGAATCGCTGTATGAACTACGGACGAGCATGCCCATGATGTCGAGTCCTTCGCTCTGGTGCCCTTCACGAGCCTCTTCTATTTTCTGACTGAAAAGTTCGCTCATGTACAGCTTCCAATTGATGTAAGAATCGTAGGCTTTAGAAGAACTGTCGAAAGGGAGGCGTTCTTGCACATGTTAGCTGTATTCAAAACTCTAAATACAACCGACTTACTCAGTATCCACTTTGGGGTTAACAGTACCCAGAGCATTCTCTCTAAAAGCGTCTCTAGCGCATGTTCAAAGCTCATTGTATGGCCTTCCGGAGGCTCATTGCTGCTAAAAACCGCATCTCTCGTGCTCGCTTTCTCATCCGGCTTCTCTCCAGGCCATAGCAGGCTTACTCCAAAGCCAATCCGACTGATTATGTGCAAGGTCAATCGCATTGTATCTGTCGGCACATCATTCAAAGTTTTTCCCCCCGACCCCGACCATTTCAATAGCATTCCTTGTGCCTGCTTGATTGACTCCGCGAACACTAGCACATTATTCTTCTCATTGAACCCCGGAGCTGTGATCTTTCTATGCTGCTTCCATTCTGCTCCTTCGGTGGTGATTATATTTCGGCCAAAGATGTCGAGGATACGGTATGATTCAAGAGGTTTCGGAAAGGCCTCGCGGCGCGATGTGACTTGGTGGAGTGCTTCAGCGTTTGCGAGCCATACCTGCACTGAGCCTGGAGAGACCTGTAGAAACACGTCGCCTTTCTGCTCAAATGGTTCGAATTGATCGTCCCAGACCCAGTCTGGTATTAAATAACTGCTTCTATGTTAGCCTTGCCTTGAAGGACTAGAGAGTGGCGCATACGGAAGCCATTTCTCGGACCACGACGCTGGTAGCCACGAGAAAAATCGCACCCAGATCTTATGGGTCATCAGCCATGCTGAGTTATAAATATTGACCGGTACAATGATATAAGGAAGACCAGACCTCTTGGCCGCAGCGAGGTTCTTCAAGAATCCCGAAACATTGGAATATAATATGTAAAAGACAGCCCCTGCTACTGCGACTGCGATTGTTGAAGCCATCTATGTTGACACAATCTTTCTGGTTGAGTAAAAAATCGTGTACTTATAGAGGCAATTGAGAGATCGCCTGAAGATCTGTCAAATTCAGACAAAGACTGCTTGGATGACGAAATGAAGAATTATGAGGATGGAACGTGACACGGTAGGAAAGTGGTGACGGCAACGATCAACCAAGTAGGAGAGAACTGTTGGAATATAGGGTTTCGCACCTATTCCTATTAGCCCATTGGCTATCCCACTGTATATAGCTCTCAGCTTTCACCTACTGGAATCACCACCTTTTGATCCCCTGATTCTATCCAGCGTAGGGTTCTTTTATTATTCAGCTCACGCGCCACTCCACGATTCTATCAAGAAAACACAAGCACGAACAAGCACGGACAAGCTCTACTCGGACTGCGCAGAACCTGGAAGCTCCGCCCGGTACTCGAGCCAGGCCATCTCAATAGCGAGGGGCAAGAGCTGCATCGCCATGTGGACAGGTGAGTAATGACCAAAGCTCGATGTCTCGGTCGCGCTTCGGGCGACCTCAAACTCCTGCCTCGCTTATTAAGTAACAAAATTTCATCCATGATCTTCACTTCTCAGCATCACACATTACGATAGGTTGGGCCCGAATCATTAAACAAGCAACAGTGAGTCACTGAGTCTTCTGCATTGTCAAGTCATCCATCCTCCAACATCATGTTCGAACTGGAAGCCAGGTGTCTCTGATTGATATACGAACAGAGAAGTCAAAATAAACATGATTGAAGAAACTTCTTTAATCCGCAAAATTAACCGCGCGACTAGTCGGTGCTTAACCATGTCCTTGGATACGATCAGCTGAGATAATGTCTGGATATCAAGATTTTCACCTTCATCATCGTCCAGGTTAGTAAAATGAGAAGACAGAGCAGTAGGATTGGAGAATCTGGTGAAACAGGCTTGTGTACTCCCGTGTCAATCTCAGAGGTCCAATTCGTGGCTTTCCTATAACCGTGGCCGATGTTCAAGCACTGCTCCATTGACTCGTGGAGCCCAAACTCTCTGTCCTAAAGATTGAGAGACTCGGATAATGGTGTCGAAGCATAGCGGTGTCCCTACCAGATTTTCTGTTTGTTGGTGTGTAATAAAACATTACTTGCTCCACATAGCTATGAGCAAAGTCTTTCAAGGACCATGCAATTCTTCCTGGCACCCAGAATTGCGATTTCGTTCCCCAGAAGAACTCGGCCTTGCTGAAGTGCGCCCTTATTGTGCCAGTCTTCAGCTATCACCGGGAGGGAGGCATACTGGTTCGATTATGTGAGTGTATGAAAATGACCTAAATATACGCTTAATACTCATGGTGGCGGTGCTTTGAGTGCTTGTTCCTCACAGGATTCGCTGAGTTACACCGTGGGTAATTCTGGAGATTAAAGAAGTAAGGATCTTGTGAAGAGAGTCAAGATGATCGGTACGGTATATTCACACTTTTAAAATGCACTGTAAAGCGTAGACGCGACAGACAAACACCCGGCCAAGAGACTAGTGACGATGATACTTCGTATGGTACATTCAGCTTTTAAAGATCAAGACAGCATCCACTTGGACTGTACTGCTACAGAACCTTAGGCTTATTCGGAATCGAGGAGCCAGACGGGAGTGGCAACGAAAGTTTGAAATCAACAGGTGGAAATTTGAGAAAAATTTGAATCTTTAGCATCCAGCTGTAAATGTCAAAGACGAGGCGCGGCGTATGTACCTTTTTTCTTTGTGTTACTGGAGAGCATAATGCAGAAGGGTAAATGGCTGCTTACAGCTCGAAATGCACATTGGAGAATAAATTTTCATGGTATTTTGAACTTGCAAGCAGACGAAGATCACGATGGCCATCATGTAAAAAATACCAAGCCGCAAGTTATAGTAGGCTGAGAGAGTTTACTACACGTGACCAATATGCACTAGCCCGCATCCAAGCGAAGACCTTCGCACAAGAACTTCTGGAGAAAAATCAATCAACGACGACACGACCAACACCACTCGACTACCGATAAATCAGTCAAAATGGTACGTTCCAGAATCCTGTCGCTGAGAGATCTGGAGGCGGGAAAGAAGAGATTTTGGAAATCGGAGTACAAACGGCTTGGGCGAGGAACTTTGAAGGCGAAAGCGTGAAATCGATCAACGCCCCTGGCAGACACGCAGCAGAACATCGGAAACTCATTTGAGAAATCGCCGGAAGAAAGGACAAATTACGGAAGCTCTGCTGGATGTAAATCCGTGGTTCTGAGCGCGAGAGATCTCGGAAGACCGCAAGTCACAGTGGCTAACTCAGATCCTCGCAGGTCAACGTACCCAAGACCAGACGCACTTATTGCAAGGGCAAGGACTGCAGAAAGCACACTCAGCACAAGGTCACTCAATACAAGGCCGGAAAGGTACGCTCCAAGGGATTCGGCGGGAGAAGGGACGGCATCTGACGATTGGGACAGGCTTCGCTATTCGCGCAAGGAAAGCGTCGTTACGACCGAAAGCAGTCCGGATACGGAGGTCAAACGAAGCCTGTGTTCCACAAGAAGGCGAAGACTACCAAGAAGGTCGTGTTGAGATTGGAGTGCACAGCATGCAAGACCAAGGCGCAACTGGCGTTGAAGCGTTGCAAGCATTTCGAGCTTGGGTATGTCTATGTCTATATTGAAGTTTCTGCTCTTGCCCTGCAGTCCCGGTGTTTGGCAGATTCCAGCATGATCAGACTGGATGGGGGCTAATTCGTTTCACAGTGGTGATAAGAAGACCAAGGGTGCGGCATTGGTATTCTAGATGTTGTGCTTTTGAGATGACTCCCTTTCTTCGCATTGGCATGGACGGACGGATAGGTGGATTTTGCATGGGCCTAATGGTCGAACTGCAGGGAACGGGACAGAAATTAGGTCTCTGTATCTTGGTCCTAGTCGCCAAACGAGCATAACAAAGTTCGCTCATACCAATGATTCTTTCAGATCCTCTTTTGGTTGGTCGTGATGGTGAAGTCAAAGTATGTTGCGGAGATAGGAGCCGGAAGCTGTTGACTCACCGAGCTTCAAGTGATCCCGGCGGCAACCAAAGCATCAGTTTCTGCCCAGTCACCCAAATCCCAAAACAACTTGGTATTTCTGCACTACCCACGAAAACGCTGGATTTTAGTTCGTGTGCTCTGGCTGATACTTCCGTGATTTTGCGAGCTACGGCGTATAACAGTTTGCTCCCTCTTTGACCTCGGCTTGGGCAGGCGATGCGTAATTTTGAGCAATGTGCCCTCCATCCCTCGATGCCTCAGCACTAGCCCATTCAGTGTGTGGCAAATCAAGAGGTACCACTTCGATTTACGAGACAGTGATAAAATGTATCCCTGACATGTGTGGATTTCCTCTGTGTGTGCTGGTAATCAATAACTTGGTTAAGCCGAATCGCCTATCTCTTGAATCCCGGTGCACGAAATCCCTCAGCAGTCTGGCCCTCTGAGCGTTGCCTTTCCGTTAGATGGCTGTGCTTCAAGGCGTTCGGAGTGCTGCGGTGATACGCCCTAAAACGTCACCAACGCTCACAGACTCTTTTGTCGATATTGAAGAAACCATGTGCGGTTCCGAGGTAAACAAGCGTGATAAAACTCCCACATCCGCCTGGGGAACAGAGGCTGTCCAATGCAAGACCAGAGCAGCAAGTTCCACGGAGCCGGGACTACTCGTCTGATATTCATTCTACAACTTTCATGAGATATCTTCTAAAACCAAATATGTCAGTCTGGTTCTAAACCCTGTATAGTCTCACCAACCACATTCCCCTTGACTCCTCTCTACCCTCAAAAACCTTTCCCAATTCTCACCGTCTCGCCGCCACCATACCAAAGCGGCCCTATCCTGTAGTCCAAACCCTTCTCCTGTCCAACAATCCACTCTCCCTCTATCCTCCTCTCCCCTTCTCTTGGCCAAAACTCCTTCTCCAACCAATCATTGATGGCCTCAATCAGTTCGATGAACTTCGCCATCTTCTCAGGACTATCATGATCTTCCTGTGTCAAGAACCGCCCAACAGTAATATGCGAGCTCGGCACCACGTATCTAGAATCTACCTTTACGCCTGTCTTACTTGCAATATCAAAAAGATCTCTGCGTAGATGGTGGTAAGTGAAATTGTCATCTTTCTTGATCCGGGCCGATATGTCGTCGGGAGAGGAGGTCGAGAGAGCTTCTCCAGCGGCGGGCAGGAATGATAGGGCAAGAGCCGCACCGTCATAGGAGAGCTTGGGCTTGATGAGCCTGGCTCGATGCGTATAGGTGTAGTCTGTCATTTGCCGGGCCACGACATTCCCAAGGTCTGCGACGATGGAGTTAACCTGAGGGAGGGTGAGGGAGAATGTTATCTCGAGGGCCGTGAGATGGCAATTAGGAAGCGGCATCAGCCAGAGTTCTGGTACCGTTAGCAAAGATCGTGACCCCGAGGTGGGGACGGAGTAGCCGGTGGAGTGGGTGACATTGAAGTCTGAAAGGTTGGCGATCAGAACTTGTAACTTGGGTTTCTTAGGACGTGCTCTTGAAAATAGGATCTTCATACTTGGAGCTAGAGAGAGAAGTTTCTGCTGTATTTGGCCAACAAGAGATCGGATATGTGCTGGCGGTCTTGCCCAGAACACAATGCAGTTCCGGGGATCTACATAACCTGGCTGGATAGATGGATCTACCAACCGTTGAAGAATCGGGTCTAAGATCAAGCCCGTGAACTCTGGAGAAAGCAGTTTCTCTTTCTGCTGCGCATTGCGAGTATCGCGGTGCGTGGCATACCGAATTTGGACTTGGGCCTGAGTTGCCATCAGCTCCTTCTATACTGGTATAGCACTATATGGACCAGAAATATAATGAAACCTATCTATGAAGCAAACGGACGGGTAGCCGAGTCTGTCTTTCCACCTTGTATGTTTGCGTTGCTTTTATAAGACGGGGGATTTGTAAGGCTCTGAACTAAGAAACGAGCTCCTGCTGCCTACTGACCGGGTCGTTGTTACACGCCTCGAGTAAAGCTTCATACGGATTTGCGAACGCAGAGTTATCAATTCCAGAAAGATCTTCAAACTTGTTGCGAGAATCTGCTGATTCGGGTTCCTGGTGAGCCATTTGGAGTCTTGGTAAAGTGCTTGCTGTGATTTCTCCGAGAAAGTTCCAGCAGTTCGGCTAATAGTTACCCCGAGCCTAGTCTGGCACCCACAACCGAATTGATACTAATCGTGATAGCTAGCAACCAGGAGCCTCTCTTCTTCAAGATCGACACCCCATCGACAATTCCTGGATACCATTTCAACCATCAACAACTATATGAGGCATTGTAGACTCTTCAAATGGTCACCAGACAATGCTTTCACATCCTAGTGATAGGGAGACCGCATGAAGTCCGTCTTTGGGTTCTCCGGCCTAATAAAGCGCTTTATTCAGGTGGGTTTGACGCTGGAGCTGTAGACAATCTTCCGCCGTTGCGCTTTGCGGCCTCCACAGTCTTCAAACCTGACGAAAGACTATCAGAGTCCTCCCTACTCGCTTCTGACCAATGGCATAGCCTCTTCCCGACCTCCCATGCTCTCTTTCGCAACCTTGTTCTGGCTTCTGCCCAGTTGGGTAATTGCCATGAACCTACACTTGCTTCCTGGAATTCTGGAAGAGCTTTGAGAGCCTGCCACATCTTACAGGCTGGTAGCTTGTAAGATAATTTGACAATCGTTCTGTTTTCTGGAAGGGAGAATCCACTATTGAAATAATGTTATCCGGAGGGAATCGACATCTCCCTCCTGGGCCACAGGTCTCTCAAGGTATGCCTGATATCCTCAAACAAAACACATTTCTAACACACCATAACAGATCAAGACTGAATTATCTGGGCGCCCATCTACTTCCAGCATATGTGGGCGGAACAAATAATGTCCAGACTACAGACAGCTGAGTGCATGCATCAAGAATGCCCTATACAAGCCAATCACTTGGTGTTTATGCCCACATATACCACAATTCCCCAAGGCTTTTCTGCAATCTCTATCCTTGGGATCCCTGAGACCACCTCTGGCGCCCAAACCTCTTTATACGTATGGATGTATACCCACTGACCTGAAAACTTATGGGCTGTGAACCGATTGGTTTTACAGGTCTTGCCTCGTGGCATTACCAAACATTGTGTTTGGGTCAACCAAGGCCTCAGAGAGATGGCAGCTCGATCAAAGTGTCCCATTTCCTTTCAGCGGTGTTCATGGATGCATGACCTGTGGTTGCTGAGTTCGGATTACGCCTCTGCTGAGTGCGTATAGAGTATGTCTGTCCTTGGGTCTTACGAGTTGGTGAAAATCACTCAGCCTAGACTGCTCCTAGTATTGAAAGCGGAGCAGAAGTCAGCAATGTGCTCTGTGGATGTTGAGATGGAGTCAAACCTGCCAGGGTTATCTTCATGCCTTACTCTTATGTCCTGACTCCCTATCAATCCTGGACGGCTTTGCCAACAAATTATTCTACCTCTTCGATACCAGAGTACTCAATCTATGTGTTGCCGGCGCTTCTGACTATTGGGCCCAGGAAGAAGCAAACCACGGCAACAAGACACCCATTTTCTGTCAGACTTGCTTTGTGTTTGCCACATTTGTTGCTATTCTAGTCCGATCCGGACTTTCTCTCTCTCCTCGGGCTGATGTGCTCTGCAACATGCCGACGGCTCCTTCGACCACAAGACAAAGCGATTGTGGGTACTTGGATCAATGTAGATGGTGCTGTTCCAGCGTCTGAAACGTTCCTTGAAAGGTCTGCAGAACAAAGCTCGAGGACCGATTGCCTGGAAACCAATAGTTCGATAACGCTGGATACAGAGGTAGATACTGGATCGAAGGCAAGGATCGCGCATTTCGCTTGTCGCTCTCGTTGGCTTTGTGTGGCCGAGGATCTTATCTGTGGTTTTCAAGATACTACTGGTCAGCTTTGATGCCTTTTCTCATACTGTCCAGTTGGGTAGGCTTACTTTTCCTGTTGTTTATATTGAGTTGAGGCTGCAATGCATTTCGGAGCAACGTCGAATACATTCCGATAACCTAAGGCAGCCAACGCTACATGGGGTGCTCGGTCTCGCATCTTCACTGCTGTAGTATATGGCTGGAAGTGTCCGAATTATTGCTTAGGAATATTGAGCGTGAATAGGGACGCTGTTGTTGGTAACCGAGCCCACAAATCAACATATCTCGGTCGCCAATTTCTGTTTCTCGAAACCCCTCGACATCGCCCCCAACCTCACCACAGTCAACCCAAACTGCGGAATCAACGCAGTAACCCCCTTTTCTCTCCTGTCATTACATTCGCAAGTACCAATTGGCAATCTGCAGAAGATGTGAGTACTTTTTTTCTCCTTCTCCTTTACCGCGCGTTGTTCTCTTCCATCACCAGCATTGCGGGACCTGGCGACTACCAACTACATACACGTCTCTCTTTCAATCGCGAACCACAGAATCCTCAAAACCTGATTTCTACCTTCAGAAGAAGTGTGAGTTTGATGATCGCCGGTTCGGGGCTCCTTCTCTACTGGACACGTTCACATCGAGCCGATCTACAGAGTCCCTGCCCAACATTAACAAACCTTCCGCTCTTTGATTCCTTCGAGAGTGACTCGGCAGGGTCTCTCTGATTACAAGGACTGACTTGCGCAGAAACGCTACCACCTGGCAATATGCCTCCACGAAAGAAGGCCAATAAGGCTACTCAAGGCCAGCCTCGGCAGTCTCAGCCTCAAGCTCTCCCACCAGCTGAGGTTGCAAACTCGAACCCGCCAAGACCAGTTCGGGCTTGTCGTACGAAGCCTTCCGCCGTCGCCATGGCTGGTGATGACAATACAGACATCGACATGCTTATAACCTCTGATATGGATATCGATAAGGACCCCAATGATAGAAAATACAGCTTGGTGAACGACGGCGAAGACGACGACCACAAAGACATAGACATGCTTCGTCCTTCCGATATGGTCACTGGACTTGAAGAAGATTACTCAACGATTGGTGATCAAGACAAGTTTTTCCCAAGAATTCCTGTCGTGCCTAAGGAACAAGAGAGCGATAATATGTCCGAGTCCCGCCCGGCGGCAAAAAGAAACAAGAAGAGCAGTAAGTTGTCATGTGTAGATTGCCGATTGCCGATTATATTTACTAATGTGCGAAACAGTAGCCAGGCCTAAGCCGAAGCTTCCCAAGAATTCAGCTACCAAGCCAGCCGTTTCCAAATCCAAAGCACCTCGGAAGAAGACCGCTGTTCTTGTCAACATGCTTCCAGCACCTCAGTCAATTACTAAGCTGGATGCTACGCCCGCGCCAGGAGTTGTCCCCAAAGACAAGGCAAAAGCAAGACATGTTGCAAAGCTTGCGCCTCGACCTGGTCGACCTGCTAACATATTCTCTGGTGAGCATGTTGAGTATGATCCAAGTGCTCAGTTCGCGGGATTTGGGGATGCTGAGGAGGATCCTGATGTCCAAGGTGACCCCGAGGGTATGCAAGTAGACGACGAGAAGACCGCAACTGAGAAGAAAGATGGACGTGGCAAGAAGAAGCCATTTCTCCATGGGCCCGGCTACAGTGCCGACTTGGAGCCGTTGTCAAACATTCGTGATATATTCCGTCATCTTGGCGAGTCTTTGATCAAATGCGAGGTTGGAGACGGCGAACCTGGACATAGTGGGAAGCACACGTTGAGGGAATTGACAGATACCATGAACGGACGCCCACTCAAGGTTGGAACTTTTTGCTCTGGTACCGAGGCACCTATTCTGGCCATGAGAATGTTGAAAGAGGGTAAGATAACAATGCAATTTCTACATCTTCTTAATTTGGCTAATCAGATTTCCTAGTATTTAGTGCATCGGGTATCACTTTCAACTATCAGCATCTGATCAGCGCGGAGATCCATCCTGCAAAAGCTGCATTCATTGAGCGAAACTTTCGGCCCCCTATCATGGCGAGAGACATTACGGAGTTCAGTGATCAGGCTATGGAAGATCGAGATCTGAAACGCAAGGATAAAAGTGATCAGGCTATGGAAGATCAAGATCTGAAACGCAAGGATAAAAGTGACAGAGATTGGACTGTGTAAGTCGTGTTCTCTCGTCCTCTGTGTATTTGCCTGACAAAATTCTAGTACAACTGCGTACGGTGGCAAAGCTACTGTTCCAGGAGACCTCGACCTCCTTGTCGCAGGCTTTGCTTGTGACGATTTCTCCTTGCTCAACAGCAAGCGCCGGGACTTGGACGAGAGAGGTGAATCCGGTGACACGTTTTATGCGATCCGCGAGTACGCGGTTAGGTACACGCCCAGAATTGTAATCATGGAAAACGTCTTGTCTGCGCCCTGGATCAAGGCTAAGAAGGCTGGTGAGACGAAGAAGATTGCCAAGACGAAGAAGACTGCCAGCAAAAACCCACGCTCAATTGCCGACCTCATGGAAGAGCTTGGATATGCAACAGTCTACATCAAGGTGGACACCAAGAACTATTACCTACCCCACACTCGGCAGCGTGGGTACATGGTCTGCATTTTGAAATCTGCTTATAAGGGTGGTGATTTGGATTTCATGATGGATAGATTCAAGGATGCCTTCGCCGCTTTGAAGCGTCCTGCGAGTGTTCCTATTGAGGCATTGCTTCTTGATTACGATTCCCCCTTGCTCAAGCCTAACTCCAAGTCAGATGACGGACGCAAGAAGCGAGCAACAATTACCTGGGAGAAGTGCAGAGTGGGCCATCACGACTACTCACTAAAGTGGGGCCTTGGAGAGAAGCGTCCTATCACCAATTGGCAGGCGAACGGCGCAAAAGTTCTCCCGGACTGGCACCAACCCATGGACGGTCTCACTGAGCGTACTCTGGATACAATGGATATTTCCCATCTGCGCAATGTTCGTTACAAGGACATTGACGACAGATACCAAAAGTAGGCACCCCTCTTTCCCCACCTAAACATTTAAATGCTAACTTGCAAATTCTAGTCGCACCCTTGAGCTATCCCAAAACGTCTACAGAGTTGAAGACTCTACCAAGGAGGGCATCGTTGGCTGCGTGACTCCGAGTAATCAACTGTTCTCTACTAAGCGCGGCGGCCGCCTCTCCGGAATTGAGACATTCATAGCTCAAGGTTACGATCCTTATGAAGTGTTCATTCAGAACATGCCCGACTCCTTGATGCGCGACATGAGCGGTAATGCCATGACCACTACTGTCGTTGGTACTTTCATGTTCGCCGCCATGATCTCGTTTCAGAAAGTCTTCAACTTCGAAGGTCGTCTTCGACAGCTGGATGCCCCCGAGCCTGACTCTGTGTATCACGGTGGAGAACACCTTGTTTTGACTGAGGCCCACCCTGTTCAGTACAAGCCGATCTCTGTGGATCATTTAACTACAGTGGCCAAGAGCACCCGACGCTTGTGTATCTGCGAGGGCAGAGATAAGATTGCTTCCCGTACCTTCCAGAGATGCAAAGTCTGCCATTTTACCTCGTGCATCAAGTGTGGCCAAAACCCCGAGCATGTCTACGAGCCGTTCGGGGAACAGCGACAACACCCGATTGTATTTGCTGATGATATAGAGCGATCTCTCCCCTTCGTGATTGATCTCAGCGCTCTCAACTCCCTTATCACCAAGTCGAAGCTTCAGAAGTTCACCGGCTACAAACAGATTGGTATTACCAAGGCGAGCTGGGATGAGGAGGCAATTCCACTGATCACGGGAGCTTTAAAATCAACTGTTGCTCACCTTTCAAACAGACGTGCAGAGGTTTGGAAGATCTTTTACGAAGGTCCTGCGGCTTCGTTACAGCTTGAAGTTTCCGCCTCGGGTGCTGAATGGCTACTCTACGTCAATGTTTCGGCTCGACCTCTGGCAGATGCCATAGGCATGTTCTTCCGACGCTTCCCAATCGCTCGGATGCGCCCAACAGGTTCCGATATCATGAAGGGCCCTTGGCAACTATACATTCCGATGAGCAGACACTTCGTTATCAATCTCAAATCGAGCGGCAATTTGGAGAAATCCTTCTGTAACGAACGTGGCCTGGTTGATCATATGAACGATTTCATTCAACCTGTCATCACAGTCGACTGTCCCGAGAAGCACCACGAGCATTACAAGCTTTACTTCGAGACTGACATTTGTGGGGAATTTGTGCGATCAGCAGTCTGTGGGCAAGCCTTTAACTCACTGCACATGAAGGTTACTTCGAGAGGTGAGGATCATTTGGGCTTTCTCTTCCATCACAATCCGCGCAGTGGAGATCCAAAGAATCATTACTATTCTTGGTCCCGTGATTTCACGCGAAAGCGTCATGGGGAGGAGCTTTCGGTCATCGCAAATATGCCAACTTCGTGGAAGCAGAATTTAATTTACGCAGAGGGAGACAACCCTGGAAACTTCAAAGTCAATGGAGTTCCTATTGCTGACTACCTATCCCCTTACGTCGAAGATGTCAAAATTCTGGCGGATGGCTTCTGGGAGGATATTCCAGACCAGTTGGACCTAACTCCCCGAGACTTCATTCGGTACAATCACCTCCCCGCACAGATCACTCATATTCCACTACCTTGTGGCCAGAAGAGAGTTGTTCTTGACATCAGCGCGCGACTGTCATTCGACGTGGGCTCTCCTTGGCGATTGGATCGATGGGTTCCAGTGATTCGGAGCAATCAGAACCTTGTTTGGAAGACCATTCTCTGCATTGTTCAGAAGCAGCTGGTCCTCGACGGCCACCGCGCAGGTGATAATTCCTGGATTCATCTCATTGGCGATTGTGCAAAGTGTGAGAAATGCTTTCCACCTTTGCCAAAGATGGTGTGGTTCATGGACAGCAATGGAAAAGCCCGGCCAACCGAAGACCCCGAGACGGCCTCTATCCACGAGAGAGCTATCAAGGACCGACCTGTGGCAATTGAAGCCTTGGTGAAGTTGAGCGACAAGAACCTGGACTTCAAGGTTGGAATCGATCCTATCACGCTTGTGCATCAAGCCACGGCCCTGCTCGCTGCTGGTGGCACTTCTCGCCCAAAGGGTCATCTCGTCGGCAACGGCATCAGAACTAAATACCGACTGGTTACTGACGATGGCAAAAGCGTTATCCAAACCCCAACTGAGTTTTCTGTGCGAAACACAAGCGACATGGTGCCCCAACCAGCCTTCATCAAGCCAAACAGCCCTTTCGCGAACTTCTCCGAAACCCCTCGAGAGCTTGAATATCAACAGGCTTGTGCTCTTGAGTGGATGCTTCGACAGGAGGATAATCCGGAAATATTTTCAGAGAGCGAGACCATGGAAGACCTGATCCAGGAAATTGGATACCGTATCGAGGGCAAGGCCACACAAGACATCCGTGTCGCAGGTGGCATTTTAGCCCAAGCTGTCGGATTTGGCAAGACTATCCTGGTATTGGCTGCCATTGCACAACGCCTCCGTGACGTTGAGAAGCAGGTTAAGTATACAGAGGCATCGGGACATTCTGGAGCCATTCCAACCAAGGCAACATTGATCCTCGTACCTCCTCACCTCGTTGACCAGTGGGAGGGTGAGGTAAGAGAATTCATGGGTGCGTTGTTTGGCCTAGACAGCTCAAGAAAAATCAAACGAGAGGTAATTGTGATTAAGCAAGTGAAAAATATGAACAGCTTGACTGTCTTGGATATCAAGAATGCAACCATCGTCATCGCCTCCTGGACCGTTTGTTCGACGCCCACCTACAACAAGGCCTTGTCTACATTTGCAGGTCTTGCTCAGCCTGGCAATAATACATCTCTTCGGGCTCGCACAGAGTGGTATAGAGAAGCACTTAAGGGTGCCCGAAAGCATGTTGACGAACTTCGTTCCAACGCTACTTTCGAACTGAATCCTGCGGCTTTCGTTCCTTTCTTGAAGAATAAGTACGACGAAAACGTGGAAGCCACCTCGAAGAATAACGCCTATATGCCGTCGGTGCATCTGACTGGCGAAAAATACGCTCAAGCCAAGCTGAAGAAAGCTCAAAAGGCTCAACAGGCTCTGGTTAAACAAGCTCTGGATAAACAGGCTCTGGATAGGGGTGCTAAGACGGGCCAGAAGCGCAAGCGCTCTGATCCAGCCGATTCCGCAGAGCCAGTCACTACAGAGCCAGTTACTACAGTGCCAGTTACTACAGTGCCAGTTACTACAGTGCCAGTTACTACAGAGCCAGTTACTGCAGAGCCAGTTACTACAGTGCCAGTCACTACAGTGCCAGTTACTGCAGTGCCAGTTACTACAGTGCCAGTTACTACAGTGCCAGTCACTACAGTGCCAGTCACTACAGAGCCAATCACTGCACCAGGGTTCAGTTGCGGTTTTAACTTTGACAGCCAGCGCCGAGGTCTCAAGGGCCACAACGTTCTTGACTCCATGAACATCCCTCTCTTTGAGCTATTTCAGTGGGGTCGCCTTGTGGTTGACGAGCACACCTACGCAGAGGAAATGGAATTGCTTGTCATGGAACATCTTAAGGCTTACCGTGTCTGGATCTTGTCTGGCACCCCCCGACTTGGAGCTTTCCATGACGTCAAAGCCATGGCTTCATTGATTGGCATCAACCTCGGACGCGACGATTTCAACGCAATGCAATCAGACGTCTTCAAGAAGAAGACTGGTGATCTCACCCGTAAGTTTCTCGACTCCTGCTGACTATGGTCATACTAATCATTAAACAGAGTCCGAGCTGTTTTCTTCCTATAAGCAAAACCCTTCCCTAACTTGGCGAAATGCTAGATGGCAACATGCACAGGAATTTCTGGACATGTTTATGCGACAAGTATGTTCCTACATCTTCCTAATGAGAGAATAATAGCTAACATGACTTTAGGACTCCGTCGAAGTTGATAACATCATCTTGAAAAAGTACATTCCGGGTGTCATCCAGTCTGCCTCAGAGCGTGCGATGTATATGGAGCTGGCTGATCATATTGTCGCCCAAGAATTCAAGATCCAAAGATCCCGTTCATCTGACGACGACAAGTCAAATCAGATCAAGGAAGCTACATCAACTAGTGAGGATGGCAAGGTTGCGTTGTTCCTGAGGGCTTCTTCCTTCATTACCCCCAAGGGCGACAAGAAGGCTAGTGATGACAAGAAGGCTGCTGATGAGAAGAAGGCTGCTGATCACACGGAGGCTGTTGATGACAAGCAAGCTGCTGATGACACGGAGGCTGTTGATGACAAGCAAGCTGCTGATGGCAAGGAGGCTGCTGGTGACAAGGAAGCTGATGATATTTCCGCAAGCACCGCCTCCTTGATGTGCGAGAAAATTGCAGCCCTGCGATATGATCAATATCAAGATAAGCTCGATGAATTGTGGCACGAGTTGACGAGGGCCCGAGTTCTCAGAGAAGAAATCAGCAAGTCTAAGGATGAGTGTAAGATGTTCAACGAATGGTGGGATCGTGCTGATGGCAACTTTTATGGCGACTACGAAACAACAACTGAACTCAAATTGTTGTTCGCCCAAGTTGAGAAGGAACACAACTCCAACACCTGGTCTACTTTCTATCGCAAACCCACCAATAATGACAAGTCAAAAGATCACTTGCCTGTCTATCCAGAAGGTTACACAGAAGTTTTCGGCCTTACCCACCTGGGCAAGCCCTTAAGTCGTGCTGTCGTGGCATTGAGATACTCTACTTCGCTACTCAATCGAATTTGCGAGGAAGTAGTACTCCGAAACAGATCGCTTCGAGTCTTCCTGAGTGTTCGTCAAATCCAGAAGCAGGCTACGATGAAGTGTTCCGGATGCCATCTGGCCACTGCTGTGGATAGCCTCACGCTTCTTAGTTCATGCGGCCATCTTCTTTGTAAGTATTGCGGAAATATTGAGGATTGCCCGGTCCGGGATCGAGGACTTCCTTGCAAGGCACATGTTGCTGAGCACCAGCGCATCCCTTGTGCATCGCTTGGCAGCGAGAATGTATCGGACGAGGAGTCTAAATTCGGTTCCAAGATGGACAGCATCACGGATCTGATCACCGGAAAAGTGAAAATTGGCGAGGAAGTCATCGGGGCTCGAGAGAAGGTGCTGGTTTTTGTTCAACACGAGAAGACCCAGCAGGTCTTGGAGGCGTCCTTCCGGGATGCCCGTATCTCTTTTTCCTGTCTCACCAAAGATGATGCTTCTCAGGTACTGAAGAACTTCCAGGACGAACACAATCACACTCTCCAGGTACTGATCATGAATACTGGGGACGAGTCTGCGGCCGGCAGGTAAGAACCAATCGTGCCCAATATGCTTTCAGCTTTACTAAACCATCGTTAGCAACCTTACTATTGCTCGCCATGTGATTTTCGTTCAGCCACTTTACACCGTTGGTTCCAGTGCTCGACAAGAGTATGAAGCTGCCATGACCCAAGCAATTGGCCGCTCTCGTCGTCGCAACCAGAAAGGGGTCGTCAATGTCTATGAATTCGTGTCAACCAACACTATTGAGGTCGACTACATGGAATTCAGACGCAACGTCACTCTTGTGCGAGAGGATCCCACCTCGGACAAGCTTATTCCGGTCCCTCGTCCTACAGACTCGAAGCACAACGGTCCTCTTTCGAGCGCCATTGCCCCGATGATTTCTTTCGATGGTTGATTTTCCAGGTGCACATCTTGTGGTATGTATGATTGGTCTCTTGAAGCGTTCTTCATATGGTGGAAAAGTCGCCGTAGGTTCTTCTCGCGTCTCTCCACTCTCCAAGGCACAAACTAATCAACTCTCGCAGTCCTGCTTGTTCTCCCGGGCATATTGGTATGGTGATTATGGTGGGGTGTCTGGAAAATTGGCTTCTTTTAAGGATGGATATGATGCTGCGAGTGACACAATGAGTGTTTCTGAGCTTTTAGGCTTTAGGCATGCGAAGTTGTTGGGATGGTGATTTCCATGTAAGAGATTAGATATTTGGTGGTTTAGATTAAAAACGCAGACGGCAGAAAAAAAAAATGCACTTGTGCATCAAACTTCTTGCTCCCTTTGCCTTGAGCGGTGATTTTGATTTCATGGTCTGCGAGCGACCTGATTCATCGGGAAGCGGATGTAGCTTTCTCCGTACGCCATCCTCAAGAGCCCTGCAAAGCTTGACTTCAAAGCTTAACTTCTTCTGGCAGGGTCGAAGCGCAGGTACATCCGGGGCTTTGTCTTACATAGGGTACCCAGGTACCTACGGGCTCCGCCAGGTCGGACGAGCAAGAATGTCGCCGCCCGGACCTACAGATGAATGTTTCCGACTCCGAGACCTCAACGTGCATCACCAACTCTTTTCATCAGTACTTCTCATATCACGGAGAATCGGTTTACCACCTTTGGACATCTGATGGGAGCGTAAGACATTGAGGAAGAAAGCCTGAACTGGGACGAATTGGGCGCTTGAACTGACGCAGTCACATCGGGTACATTGGGTACGAGAGTGGCGTTTTTCCAACCACGTGATACCGTAATATGGCGGTTCGAAGACAGGTGAGGGCGACTGGGAGTCTAGGGGAGAATTCTCCTTTGCTGGGCGAGCAGACCAGGAGCCCGGATAGAGACGATGGCAGTTCAGAAACCGTGACAGAGGCTCAGCGGAGGGCGAGTGAGGAAGAGCTCGAGGATTCTGACAAGGCAAACCAACACTTTGGGAGGCTACGCGCTGTGTTGATCATGTTCAGCCTGTGGGGGTTGATTTTCTTGCAAGGTAAGCCCATTGTTGGTAGTTGAATTGGTGTTTGAGCTGTGCTGACAAGTGGTTTGCAGCTTCGAATATGTCTGGCATCACGACAACACAATCGAGAATTGCCGAAGATCTAGATGCTTTTGCTGAAGCCAGCTGGTTCACATCTACCTATCTCGTAAGCTACCTTCCAGTTCGTGTTCCAGCATAAAACTCACGCCAACTAGATTGCCATGTCGAGCTGCTCCCCTCTCGCTGCAAAGCTGGCCGAGATATTTTCCCCTAGGAACTGTGTGTTCGCGGCCTCAATTCTCTTCGCGGTTGGTGACGTGATCACGTCCCAAGCCCACACGTTACTCGTTTTCCTCCTCGGTAGAGCCATCCAAGGCATCGCTAGTGCGGGGATCATGACCACTTCTTACATCCTGGTGCTGGAACTCTCGGGGAAGAAGAAACGAGGTCTATTCATCGGATTGGTCAATACTGGCTTCACCACCGGTGTGTCTTTTGGAGCTGTGATTGCTGGTGCTTTACTTCCTGTTGCTGGCTGGGCAAGTTCCACAATAGCTAGGCCTGATTGTTAAGCCTGCTGTACTGACAATGCACAGAGGTTTCTATTCTGGATCCAAAGCCCCCTTGCGATTGCCTTTGGCACTGGGATATACTTCAGTATCCCGGGTACTTTCACTTCTGGGCATCAAGAGGATGAGGAGGTATCAGCATTTCGAAAACTTGGCCAGGTTGACTATCTCGGTGCAACAACTCTTGTAAGCTCCCAAGACTTGGGTAGCACCGCTGTACGCTGATAGGGAATCTAGACTACCACACTTTGCCTCTTCCTCTACGGTCTATCCTCGCCAGTCATTGTCTGGACCCCCATAGCCGCTTCCGTCCTTCTACTCGTTGCATTTGTCCTCTTTGAATTGTACCTAGTTTCAGAGCCCATCATCCCCGTGACGGTTCTCAAGTCTCGTGGCGCACTCCTTTCGTGCGTTGCCCAGCTTGGCATCATGGCCGCCCGCTGGATGGTCTTATTCTACACCCCAGCCTATGCTATCGCCGTACGAGGCTGGTCTCCCGCATCCGCTGGATCCATTCTCATTCCTACCAACCTAGGATTCGCCATCGGCGGGATCTGTGCCGGTGGGCTGCACATAAGACGAGCTGGCAGCTTCTGGCTGTAAGTACCCCTTCCATCGCCCCACTTTGTTGACCTCGCTAACGAGTAAAAAGGCCAAGCCTCGTCTCCTATCTCCTTTTCTCATGCACTCTCGCAACCCTCTCTCAGATCACCAACCCGGGCACTCCGACTGCGCTCTTTGTCCTCAACGTCTTTGCGAACGGCCTCTGCACCGGTGCAGCTCTCAACTACACTCTCGCACACCTCCTGCACCTGACCCCACCCTCCACGCACTTCATCTCCACCTCCCTCATCACCACTTTCCGCGGCTTTGCAGGCTCCTTCGGCTCCGCCATCGGCGGCGGTCTCTTCGTCCGCGTTCTCAAATCCAAACTGGAGACTGGCTTTGCGGAGCACGGCGGGCTGGAAGGTAAAGAGGACCTGGTGAGACGGCTGCTCGGTAGCCCGGCTTTGGTACAGGCATTGACGGGCTTGGATCAGAGGGTTGCCGTTGCGGGCTACGTCGGGGCTCTGAGGAACCTGTTCGTGGCTGGCGCGGGACTGGCGCTGGCTATGGTTCTCGTGCAGGCTGCTACGGGGTGGGAGGGCCCTGGAAGTGTGGGGAAGGCTGGAGGGGCGGAAGAGGCAGGCCAGGTCATTGGGGTTGTGGACGAGGAGTGGGAGGAGAGGATGGAGCAGGGTGTTTGAAGCAGGGCTTATTGCTGGCCGAGACCGGGTTAGATAGAGAGATATGGTTCTGCACGCTTTTATCCTGGTTAGGAATATAGATAGATGATTGGCGTGGCGCACATGATGGCTGTATCAAGATATATTCTACTTTGTATTGGTACTGTCAAGCTGTTCATCTCGTCAACCTGTTCATCTCCTCCTAGCTAAATCCAAGCCCCCTTCCGACAAATCAAGCCAAAATAGCCGCAGCTCTGCTTGTGCACGGTATCTCGAATAGACATCTTTCTCCTCCCCCCCTTCCTCCCCCCCTTCCTCCCACTCTCTCACACACATATCTCCCTATCCAAACAGACCGACACCGAGATTACAAATCCCATGAATCCCTTCTTTTAGTGGCAGGGGGATAGCGAGGGGAGGGGGTCGGCAAGCACCTCCTAAAAACTCGCCAGAGCCAACGAGCGGAGCGGCAGCACGCATGGAAGACCCTACTTACCTACCTACCTACTTACCTACTTACTTACTTACTTACTTATACCTTACACGTTACACGGCAAGGGGACCGATGCCCGCTGGCCGCCGCCGCCGTCAAAATGAAAAAAAAAAAAAAAAAAAAAAAGACAGCATAAATGACCAAACTTACCGAGCGCGAGCGAGCAGCGCAGGGCGTATGTATGAGTAGTCGTAGTGGCAGTAAGTAATAGTAGTAGTAGTAAGTAGTAGTAGTCGGCACATCAAATATATCGACCCAGCTTTTGGTTGGGGCCAGCTCGCTTACGCGAGTGAGTGAGTATGCCTCGCTTAGCGTGGCATACCGGTATCCTCCCTCAGGGGCCGTGTCCTCCCCCCCCCCCCCCCCCCCCCAACTTCCATGTAAATACCATCTATCATATAGCTAG